TGGGCGTCAGTAAACACTTAACACCAGGTGGGCTGTGAGCTCGTCAACCCATCTAAGCAATAAAAAAAATAAGATTTACGGACAGTTTCAATTACGGCACCACATATACCTATATGTACTTAACATATCTCACTGCGTTATTATGCGTTAACTGCATCATTACTTTTATACAAATGCAACATAAGTGTCTCGAATGTGCCGAAAGCTCTTTCATAAGTCGGTACATAAGTTCCAAGTGTACGTGAAGGTGTACCGCCATGCGGTCTGTTTCTGTCGTGAAGCAAGCGTGCTTTCAGACTTTAGTAAACAACAGGGTATTTTTGGACACTTGTCCTGAAAAGAACGTTGATACCGTAAGTGTGTGTTGCCGGGGTGAGCCATAAAGTCTTCGGAATAACACATCACACACTAGAAATAAAGTAGATAATCCTAATGTTGTCTGCTCCTAATATCCTACCCATAGTCTTCAGTATGCCACTAATTATGGGCTTGCAACAAAGCGAATTATCGGAAAATCATTAAAACTAAAAATCGTGTTTAGAACCTGTTAAATAATAACGTTTAATAATAATATCTTCGTGACCATTCGAAGCGCTGTCCTACGCATTTCATTAAAAGTTAAAGCTTTTCGTTTAACTGGCTCACTACGGAGACATATTTGACCAGATTATGTTGACCCAACTGGCTCAATAAAGATTCCAAAAATCGGATAAATTCAGTTAATGAGATCAGGGTCCAGGTTGAGGTGGTTTAATTTTCTGTCGATGTTCCGAAGTTAGTATAGTCGTTGGTTTCGAAGTTTCACTAATTATCTGTAACTAGTTATTACCTGTACATTATTATTCTCTGGAGAATAAATAGGATGAAAACGAGTTGATGATGAGATGAGTTTTATATTGACTTAGTTTAGGCACATGGGGGTCTAATGCGAGAAGCTCCAAAGTGAATTCTCGTATCAACTCAGGTGAAAATGAGCCACTACGTGTTTAATTTTTCTAGGTAAGTAGGTTATTTTTTTTACGCTTGATGTGATGCTAGATTGTTGCAAGTCAGTTGCACACATGTAACAATTTTGATGAATTTAAAAATACTAGTGGCCCTGCAGTAGTCGAGAATCGACTATAATTAATTGAAATTATAAGTTACAACATTATTATGGTTCTATTGTCAAACACTATAATATTTCGATAATATAATCACAGTATTCGCCAAAACTGCACTATAGATCAATAATATTAAAGACAAACAATATTAATCTATTTTCAATTCGACCACAGATTTTAAACAATAACAAAAGTTTCCCAATTGGCAGTAAACAAAGAGTATATTTTTATGTATGTGTTGTGTGAAATACACGGTAGTGTGTGTAATGTTTTCTTTATTGGTTTAAAGTATCTTTTATGCATTATTTAAAAAAAATATTAGCATTGTGCACTTCTTCTCTATATTCTCTATAAGTGTGAGAAATTTCATACTCCTCCGTCCGCGCAATTTTCGTAAAAAGGGGTACAAAGTTTTTGCTTCACGTATTAATATATAGATAATTCGTGAAGACATTTTTTCTTTCAGGTTTTGTAATAGCAGTTTTCGAGAAAACCAACCCTGGCAGATGCTATTTGCCTTCTTGCGTTCGTCGCCCCTGCCTATAATGACCCCAATCCAAGACCTGTCATTTCCAAAAAAAGATGACAGGCGACAAGCAATTCCACTTAACATTAAGAACATTATTTTAGAATTACGTGATAAGATTAAAGCTTACGTTTATATTACGTCTTTTGCCTAAGATAAATTTCGTTTTTTCTTAAATAATAATATATTTTATATCTCTTCTTCTTAATATGCACCCATGGAATCGATGCATCTCTGTTAGTGGAGTGTGACGACATTCAAATTGTGAAATCTAAGAGTTCTGCCAACCACTTAACATCATGTGGGTGGTGATCTCGTTCACTTGTCTATGCAATAAAAGCCTGGATTTCAAAAGTTGCCAAATTTACAACACTTGTACCACATGTAAGTGTCAGCATCGCTACCCACTCTGAATCAATCCTTCAAATTATCTAAGTGTAAAATAGTACAGTGAGAATTCAAAAAAAAAAATACATGTGTGCAATTCACACGTGGTAGAAGTGAAACCTTCCAAAATTAAAATACAATTATCCTAAACGTCTTAAGTATATGTAAAATTTTGTCATTAGTAAATAATTGTAAGGTCATTAGTAAATAAATGTAAAGTGCCCTCTGTGAATTGATATTTTAATTTCACGTATAATCCTAAATTAAAATTCACTACAAGAGCTTTCATACACACGTTAGTATTAAAAAATCTCACAGATGGCGCTGTATTAAATAGTATGTATATTTCTGTTTCATTCTTTGCTGGCTTCATCCTACACATTTTTGTATTTGTGTCTCTTACCTGTCGTTTTTTCCGTTGCATCCGGTTTGAAATCACAACGATTCTAAAGAAGTTTTCACTTCAAAAAATGTTTAGGTGTAAAACTCAAAGAGGCACGTCAAAGCAGGTAGGACGGCACTCAAAGGTTTTCTGATGGAAAAGGCATTAGTTTTCAGCTGATCCAAATAGCTAAAGCCTCTTAGACCCTGGAATTCTGATTGTGTTTGTGTAAAGAATATTCGAGAAAAAAAAAACGTTTTCGTGTTTTGGTTTATACGACGTAAAAAAAGCAATTTACGTAATGGTTTTTCAGGTCAATTAATCCGGTATATTTGAGTGGTTGTGAAACAACATGGAAAAATGAAAGTACTCTAGCGATTTTTCGTCCAAAAAAATTATTATCACGAATTTATAAATAGTTCGCGCATTTTTTTTTTGTGAAATTCCGTTAGGAATTTTGTTCACGATTTTCTTAGTGAAATAAATATAAGCTAAATTTTTTTTTTTTTATTGCTTAGTTGGGTGGACATGCTCACAGCCCACCTGGTGTTAAGTGGTTACTGGAGCCCATAGACATCCACAACGTAAATGCGCCACCCACCTTGAGATATAAGTTCTAAGGTCTCAAGTATCGTTCAACCTTCAAACCGAAACGCATTACTGCTTCACGGCAGAAATAGGCGGGGTGGTGGTACCCACCCGCGCGGACTCACAAGAGGTCCTACCACCAGTAAATTGTACATATTAAATTAATTTAATTATAGGAGTTAAGTAGTCACCTCCTACAAGATGGTCCGACAACCTATTGAGGTTCGCGGGGATCCGCTGGATGCAAGCAGCGCAGGACCGATTTTTATGGCGAGGCTTGGGGGGGGCTACGTCCAACAGTAGTTGTCTGTGGGCTGATAGACAAGTAGTTACCAGGATCCACAGATACCACTCGATGAATACCTCCTCCCGCTTTGAGATATGAGGTCGAAGTCTCTACTATTCTGTATAACGGTGGCCCCGACAAGCTGACCGAAGCGCGTAGCTGCTTTTCGACAGAAAGCAGGGTGGTGGTACACAGAAAGCAGGGTAATGGTACACAGAAAGCAGGGTGGTGGTACATAGCTCGGTATAGTAACTTTTTCTCTACCTAATCGCTGGTAGCTTAAGGGCTATTCCAGCCACGCCGGGACGGGTAGATGACCTCATGGGCTCAACGTGAGAGAATTGCTAACACTGGCCCAAGAAAGAGCAGTGCTTCGCTAAGCCTACCATTGGACCTAAATCGCGACCCACTAAGAAGATTCGAAGAGAAATTCAGTGGGTTAATACGGCACAATATTAACTATACCCTACTACTGATGAAACTGAATTTACCATTTTAATCGGTTTACTAAGTAATAATTTACGGTTTAATAATAATATATATACATTTATTTAGACTAGAGGTCCCGCAATAGTCGAAATTCGACTATAATTAATTGGAATTGTAAGTTTGTACACTATTATGATTGTATTTTATACTTCTATAATCTCAAATTTCGCCAAGACTACACTATAAAAAACATTAACAAAGGCAAACAATATTTAATCTATTCTCAATTTGACAACAGACGCCAAGAACAAAAGTTTGACAATAAATAGTATGCATGCGTGTGTGCGTCAAATCATCGTCAAATACATGGTATGTAGTGTGTGTAATGTTTTCTTTATTGGTTTAATGTATATTTTATGCATTCTTTAAAAAAAATATTAGCATTGTGCACTTCTTCTCTATATTCTCTATAAGTGTGGAAAATTTCATACTCCTCCGTCCGCGCAATTTTTGTAAAAAGGGATACAAAGTTTTTGCTTCACGTATTAATATATAGATACTGAGCGCTATGACATATGCTTCTGAAAGAGAGGTTTGAAGATATTCCAGTGTGGGCAACGGCTAACCTTTTTTTTTTAACGCTGGGGAATGCGTTACCGGTCGGGAGGGTAACAGACCGGGTTATGTCGGACTTCGGCGCCTCCAGAGAAGAAGAGGGAGAATACGAAGACCGAAGTCCTCCTCTTTTTCCAATTCCTACCGGGAGACTACGCCTTGAGAAAGGCGCGCCAGGCGCTGCGCGGCGTCAACCACGCAGGACCCGCCCCGCAAAACCGACTACCGACTAAACCCCATCGAGCTCTACCACTCCGACTCTACGAAACCTACGGTACCGCACAGTGCGCGCCGAAGGCTCGCCGTCGCCGGTACCCGTCCTGACAATAGGATGGGATTCCATCCCCGGAAAGATCCCGCAGGAAGTCGTCTCGGGAGACACACCGTGAGCGGCGCACAGGAGCCACCTTGCGCCGCCTCACCACGGAACCGACAGCAGAGCACCGGGCGCCCCCGCACCCGGTACCCAACAGCCCCTACGGGAGGTTAACGGGAGCATCGTGCCCGCGTCGCCCACCCCGCCTTCTGATGCATGAGTTAAGTTGCACGTCGAACTCTTTATCGAATTCGACGAGTATGGCTACCGGGGTCCCTAAGCCTGCTCCTAGTGTTAGAGCTGAAGGCGTCTAAGGCAAAGGTTATTGGATCTGATGGATCCGTAAGGACGTGTCTAGGGCGCCGACGGTGACTGGCTCCTGCGTGATCAGGATTCGGGGAGTAGTCAGCTGCGGAAACGATACGGCGATACGACATTTTCAAGATAAGCTTGCCTATATACAAGTTGCGAACAACAAAATATTCGGACCGTCGGTCCACCGAGCAATATCTAAAGCTCGGTGGAAGATCTTCCCTTCGTCGTTAAACATACCACGTACATATTAATACTTTATGACACCATTACCCATGTATCCAGACCGGTATGAAATTACAACGTTGAAGACTTTCTTATTAGTAAATATATATTATTTTCTTTTTCTCGCTAGCTTTACTTAAGACATAATTATCAGCCAGCAAATGGTGCAGCAATGGTGGTGGAAACAAGTTTTTAAAATCCAAAATTACATTTCGTTCGCAAAAATGTCTTAGGTATGATTCAATAAGTTACCTTGGACGCGCTTTCTATTTATTTTGTTAACTCATCAACGATGTTCTTACAGGATGTTGATATTGTCATAATATGAAATCCGCTACAAACTTAAGACATATTTGCGTTGTCTTTCTGGCTAGAAAAAACAGGCGGGACAGCCAGTACAACACAATTTCTACAAGTATTTGATGCCGAAACAGAACCGCTCTATTATCAGACCACTGTGGAGGAAAATCAGACGTGGTCACCATCTTCAGCGGTGAGGGAACGATAAAAAAGAGAGGAACAGAATTGGGTGTGGGGTGTGTGGAAGATGACTCAGCTAAACCAGTCGTTCTCTCCTAAGCCGAAATAAATCTCGTTGAACACTATGCGGTACAGTGCGTTTAATTATATAATTTAATAACCTATTCTTTTATTTGTATTTTTTTATGTAAGGAGAGAAAAACTAGCGGTCAAAACGCATCACGTTTCGGTCACACGTCTGGTGTTGTCTTCAGCGAATCAGCACTCACAGCAGTCATAGAGCTGCCGTCATTAAAAATATTTTGAATATTTGAAAAGCATCAACGGAGGGATCTGAATTCTGACGAATTTATTTTCTTTTCTTTATACAATATTTAATATTATGCTTATTCAATTACAATTTTTTATAATTGGTGGTTTAATATTTGTGGTTATATCTATCTTATTATACAGCTTCAGTATATAGATATTATATTCGTATGATAAAAATGGTGAACAGATTTTAATTTATAAAATAGCCTCAACAACCACCATTGCGTGATCGTAGATTCATGTAAATTATAGATTTAATCAAGAAAACCGTTAATTATTTGTCCACTCCACTAAGCTAACTGTATCACTGCGATCTTCCCTTTGCCTCCACAAACTGCCGACCAAGAGGGACAGACCATATAGCATAACCCCAAAGAGTAAACTCCACCAAGCCCAGGATCTTAACACTGGTTTCGAAAATGTAACTAGAATCCAGTCATTACAAGTGTTTAATGAAGCCAGGGTCTTGGAACAGACTCTAACTTTATTTGTGCTAGCCACCAAATTCACAATCTCAAAACTCGTTATGTTACCCATTACACACCAAGATTGCGGAATCAAATATGATGTTTGTTCAATTTTTGGCAATAGTTCAACAGTATAAGCCAATATTGGTCCATTGGTTATTTCGGGTGGCTTCCAGCTTACTACTATCCGGCTGTCTTTGATAGTAGCCACCGTTTCTCTGGGCACATCCACATGGTTAAACGCCCGTAACGTCCTCACAATGCTCTTGGTTGATCTGCTGCAGCTACTGTTGAAACAAGCCCGTAATCTGAAGCTATAATCCCTGTATGGAGCTAAGTTACCAATTTGAAATGCGTTCTTGGGTCCGGTGATATTAAGCGATAAAGTTTTGACGTAATTATTGAATGACGTATTTCCCGGTCTTGGGTCTTTTTGAATCTTNTGGTTAAACGCCCGTAACGTCCTCACAATGCTCTTGGTTGATCTGCTGCAGCTACTGTTGAAACAAGCCCGTAATCTGAAGCTATAATCCCTGTATGGAGCTAAGTTACCAATTTGAAATGCGTTCTTGGGTCCGGTGATATTAAGCGATAAAGTTTTGACGTAATTATTGAATGACGTATTTCCCGGTCTTGGGTCTTTTTGAATCTTACAACCCAAGAGGGTGTTGTCGCAAACATCAAAGTGATCTTCCACCAGCGCTCCAGCAGTCACTGTCGACAAGAACCCGCACATGGACTCACAACTTTTACCATATTCTGGAGGTGGTCTCATCACTACAGCATGTCTTGTGTAGTCAATATCAAAAAATTCATCCCCCATACTTTTGCAGTTATTTCTCAGTAGGATTTCTTGCGTATCAATCAAGACAACATCAAGTTCATAGCTAGATATAAGACGTCTATAATCTTTGTGATCGACCCAACTCAAAACAATAACGTCATAAGACGATGCCACAGATTCTATTATAAACGGCGGTTCAGGTATCCCCACAAGAGTAGTGAAATTCAAAATTCTACTTCTAGCTAATCTATGATACACTGGATCATAAGTCTCGATGCAAACGGCATACGTGGATGCAGGACGCAAAGACGTGAGCTGCACGATTACATTCTGACCAAACTTTGTGGGAACCGCTTCAGCGAACCATTCTAGCTGACTACACGTCTCCGGTAAAATTGCTTTATTTATTTCCGGAGGCATTCGAACGTACAACACTGAATAATGAACGTCAGGATCCGGTAGAGGAGAAAACATGACAACGGCACATGTTTCGTTTACCACTTGTATCTGGATATCTACAGAAGCTTCCTCACAGTTCCCCCCATAGCCATTAGTGCCTTGGATTACGTCTTCCTCTGCAGGTTCCTCGGGAAATAAGTCCTTTATCTTATCAATATGACTCATGCAGAGCAACGGATTGTTAAACATCTGATATGTCCCGTGATCTATTTGAAGGTTTTTGCTGACGTTCACATTGAAAAGTGAATGAAGATTTATCATGTCATGGATTACGAGACTAAACTTTTCACCCACTAGTTTATTGCCTTTTATTCGTCGAAGTGATGACAAAAAATCGAGACTTGTGACCGCAGAAGAGCTGTAGATGACAAGGTATTCTGATATTACTTCGATTCGGCTTAAAAAGGTCCGTAGTTCAGTCATAGCTTCGATCAAACTTCCGAGGTGTATGGTGAGGGAACCATTGATGTAGACGCATCGCTCAGCTAATTGGATACTTTCCGTTGTCTGGACTGTTAGACTCTCACAGGTCTGTAAAGTAACGCAAATTTTCAAGGGATAATCAGTGAATATATAATCCATATATTTATCAATTTTTTTTCCTGTTTTAAATCACAATTATTAAAAAATAGTTAAACTAACCTGATGACAGTTTCGACAATATTCACAAGTCTCTCCGTCTGGCTTGCGGACCTGAACGTAATCGACTGGACACTGGAAGATACAGGTTTTGTTCCAGGTCCAACCGTCCATGTCATGGCAGTCTTCGGCTGTGATGCAATATTTGCTGGTGCCTAACAAAATCCTGGAACAATAAATCTTCTTAATCTGAGTACACTTTGTTGTACAGCCAATTAACCAAATTTTTTATTTATTGCATAGATGGGTGGAGGAGCTCATAGCCCACCTGCTGTTAAGTGTTTACCGGAGCCCAGAGACATCTATAACGTAAATGCCGCCACCCACCTTGAGATATGAGTTCTAAGATCTTAGTATAGTTACAAACTGTACAAATACTTTAATTGTGAGAAAGTGGGTATAGCAGTCTTATTTGTAATGAGTACATAGTGGATTCTCATTACTGAAGCGTGCAAAGTGCATAATTATTTATAAATAATATAGGTAAATTATTTTTTGTAAGTTGCACAATCTGAGTTTTTTTTAGATGATTTCTACTCAAGAAAGTTTTATTAATTACGCAAGTCATCAACGTTGCTTTTAATTATTTAATTGACAAAATGGTAAAGCGTATTAGAAGCTCGAACAGTTAGCTACCGACATCCCAACTATTTCAGACACGAAGCAGTTGTGCCTTGAGCTTTGTAAAGTGGAACACTATACTATAGAATTAAGAATTGAACAATATGTTCGGAGATCAAGGACGGAGGCGATATTCAGGTTAAGACATTTATGAATCCTGTAACCACTTATCACTAGGTGGACCGCGAACTCGTTCATCCAACCATGCATTAAAAAGGTACATATTAATATTCCCGGGTGTACGACAATCTTTCAGGAAAGCGGCTGTAAAACATTTTAGATACGCGAAAAACAACACTAATGCGCTAAACTAAACTTTTCGTTTTTATAACTCTGAATTTCAAGCAGCTCTCCCCAACGAGGCCGTATTCGCCGAGCATCAATTTTATTCTTTTATTGTACTAAATGGGCGGATGGTCTCTTAGTGTTTGCAATACATTACGCGTAAAAAAAAACAATCATTTTTTGAACGTGACTGGTGCCTTGTCAGAATACATATACACCCCTACGTATTTTCGGTTATTGAAAAGATCCTTACAGCCTGTATAGGACAAACAAACTATTTAGACACAAAAATATTATGAGAGTCAGCTTTGTTATCTGTAAAAATATAATGTAATGGTNTGGTCTCTTAGTGTTTGCAATACATTACGCGTAAAAAAAAACAATCATTTTTTGAACGTGACTGGTGCCTTGTCAGAATACATATACACCCCTACGTATTTTCGGTTATTGAAAAGATCCTTACAGCCTGTATAGGACAAACAAACTATTTAGACACAAAAATATTATGAGAGTCAGCTTTGTTATCTGTAAAAATATAATGTAATGGTGTATAGCAATATAAACGTAATGTGAAGTGTGCGGGCTGTTATAGGCTACCTGTTAGCAATTTATTTACACTGTTAGGGCTCGGTGGTGGCGATTAAGCAGCCAGTTCATTAGCGAGCATAAGCTAAGAAGTAGTAAATGACATACGTAGAATTGGGACACTCCGGCAAACAGTTTTCTCTATATGTAAAGTGTCGACACACCGAACACATTGTTGCGTTCGTTTTGCGACATCCCAGACACTGCTTGTCGCACACTTCACCTTCCGGCCCTTCGAGGTAGCGTTGACATTTCCTTAAAAAATGTAGAATTTAGGTGTAGATCATTCTCCTGCTCTTGACCTAGTCACCTGGGATTGACGCAACATGTTTTCTAATTCAATACTCCTCTATCATATACCATTTCTTCGCTCACCCATCCATTTCTTCTTAAGTCTACCTCTTCCTCTAAAGCCTTCCTCGTTCATAGTTAACACTCTCTTACCAAATTTATTGTCATTTCGTCTCATCACATGTTCATACCATCCAAAGGCGCACTTCTCAACATCTGTGTCACAAGTGCCACTTTCATAAGAATTTATATGTAGATATTTAGTTAGAACGCTAAGTTCTTGTAAAGCAAATTTAAAATTATATCAAATATAATTATTCTGTACTATAATTGTGCATTGCAACTGCAATTTTTATTTAATTAATTTAATATATTTCTTTAGCTTCCTTAACAAAGTATAGCGTGTTCCAATTTTAAAAAGGAAAGTAATAATTTGCTAAACTCAAACTCAAGTACATAACGATTGGTCGGTCTGATGCTGGTGTGCGCGTCACTCCGCAAGTGCCGGCGGAAGATCAGCGCCGCAGTACCAATTGTTTTGTTACTGTTAGGCATTGCTGAGTCGGTAACCGTTTCCAAGCCTCGTTACTTTTCTTATCTTTTTTTTTATTTTTTGTACCTAATTTATCTTTGGAATAAATGTTTATTACTATTATTATCATCATTATTTAAATATGTAGAATAAATAAATAAAACATAATAATTCTTGCTTACATATTATTCCAACAGTGGTTAAGAGAGGAGTTAAGGCTACATCTGCATACGTTGCAGGGTCGCAGAGAATGCTTGTCCGGCGGACTGATAACGTGCCTCGCGCGCGGAGCTATAATTTTCCAGTCAACCGTGTCCACGTAGCAGGCTTGAGGCAAGCCCCAAATGATGACCCCGCCCCGATCTATCTTCAATAGACTGTAGAGGCCGATCTAAAGTGAGAATTAGAGGTAGTCTTAGTCGAACTAAAAACAAGCACCTAATCTGGCCTTCTTCAGAAATTAAGTCTTGGCACGAGCTCGGGAAGTGGCAAATTTCAAACCAAGCTTTGAAAGCAACCAATGACTTCCACCAAGAATACATAGCATTCTGTAAAACGACACATTCTGTATGACCTCTGTTCTCAGAAGTATTACGATTGTTAAAATTTGATGTAATTAACAAGGGAAATATTTCAAGAGGGTTTCAAAATTTTAGTCTTTCTAACTTCCATTTACTTCTAAACACCATCTGCCAATTTAAGCTAGGTAATTACTTGCTTTAAAATTCCTGCATCTTTTTACCTTGATCTGTAAAATAGACTTACTTCTTTAAGTTTCGGCATGTCGTATATAATCAGAGCATAGTTGTTCAGTAATACTTCTCCTCTTATACGAGCTAGATTCGGAAAGAGAATACCTAGTGACTGGAGACCTTGCACTCTGTATACTAGAAGGAAATGGGTCACCTGAAAAAATTAAGTGATATAATAGATGGCATGAATCTATAGAATACCATTGAATAATTCTTTTTTGAATACAATTTGGAAGAACTTTGAATCTTTATGGATTTCTTTTTTTTCCAGAGGAAATATTTAAAGTTACTAACAGCGATGACATTGGCATCGGAGTGATACACTTATCTCAAGACAATGTTAATGTTAACTCTTGCAATAGGACAATTGAAATTATGGGGTACATAATAGACCTTCGGGGACGATATAGTTTTTAGGAAAAAAAATTTTTTTGCGGAAATGCCACCGCCATAACCAAGCAGCTAGTGTATGGAGTTTCGACGAAAAAAAGGCGTTCTGGGGTTTGACGCGTACCCACCCTTATGAAAAATAATATCAGAGAAGAGTCTGAGGATTCAAAAATATTGGAAATTGAATTATGAAGTCGTCGTGGCCTAGCGGATAAGACGTCCGATGTATTCATGTTGAGCGATGCCAAACCCGGTACCAATTTTTCTAATGAAATACGTACTCAACAAATGTTCACGATTGACTTCCACGGTAAAGGAATCGTGTAATAAAAATGAAACCCGCAAAATTATAACTTGCGTAATTACTGGTGGTAGAACCTCTTGTGAGTCCGTGCGGGTGGGTACCACCGCCCTACCTATTTCGGCCGTGAAGCAGTAATGCGTTTCGATTTGAAGGGTGGGGCAGCCGTTGTAACTATACTTGAGACCTTAGAACTTATATCTCAAGGTGGATGGCGCATTTACGTTGTGGATGTCTATGGGCTCCAGTAACCACTTAACACCAGGTGGGCTGTGAGCTTTTCCACCCATCTAAGCAATAAAAAAAAAAATTAAAAAAAAATGTTACCTGTCACTATTTCTTACCTCTCTGAGGTTCGGAAAACTAATATTTTTAAAGTCTTGCTTCTTAGTGCGCTCCATAATAGACAATTGTAGGCTGCCCATGATCACTACGCAATCGCTTAGTTTCTCCCGGACGTCATGTAGAGAATTACACGTGACCGACCTGCAGACACCGTGGATACTCTGGGGCTTCGCGCTTTGGATTCGAACTGGAACGCTCAGGATGAGAAGAAGACTGAAAAATGAGTCATTTAATAGTTAGCACGCCAGGATTTCATATAGTAATATACCTTAGGATTAGCGATGACGAGATAAAGGTTTGTAATACCGGATTTCTGGAGTTATTCTTATAAGTTGCTCTTTTGGTTAGATTTACTGGTGGTAGGACCTCTTGTGAGTCAGCGCCGGTAGGTACCACTACCCTGCCTATTTCTGCCGTGAAGCAGTAATGCGTTTCGGTTTGAAAGGTGGAGCAGCCGTTATTACTATACTTGAGACCTTAGAACTTATATCTCAAATTGGATGGCACATTTACGTTATAGATGTCGAAGGGCTCCAGTAACCACTTCACACCAGGTGGGTTGCGAGCTCGTTTACCCATATAAGAAATTTAAAAAAAAGTTAGGTGAACAAACTCACGACCCACGTATTATTATATGGAAGGCCACGGACATAATGACGTGAATGCCATCACTCACCTTGAAAGACAGGTTAAAGTTTTAATATCCGTCCGCTTTTCAGGACATAACTTCCTCGCCCTCTGTCGCTTGTTAATCTATATTAACTGCCAGATATTGGCAGCACAGCACAGCATTATGGAGAGGCTCGGTGGAAAAGCCGCTTTATAGCCACATTCAATAATGACCGGTAAGCAGCGGATTGGCTCTGCCTCTGGCATTGCTGAAGTCCATGGGCGATGGTAACCACTCACCATCAGATGGGCCGTGCGCTTGTCTGCCTACAAGGGCTATAAAAAAAAAAGTGACCCGCGCAAACTTAATACCTTACTACTAGTAATTTTGTAAGATACAAACACTAACTTTATAATAATTACTTAGGAAATTCTCGTAACGAATAGTTCTGAATAGTTTAGGATGAAAGGGTTAATACAGATGCCCTTCAAGTGTCAATAGCACTATTTCAGGTAAGAAGTTATTGCTTATTGGATTCCATAATGGAAGGGCTGTTGAAAGGAATTTGGGGAAAGAAAATATATTATTATTTATACTAAACGATATGTATAGAGACTGAACATGCGATATTGATTCACTAACGTGTCTATTTATGTGTTAGGGTAGACGGGGTAAGAACATGTTATGCAGTGTTGATTAATTGTGATGAGCATAATAAAAATAATAGTAAAGAAATTACACCATTGTAGTATTAGGAGCATCTTATTTCAAGTTATTAATCCACGGCTGAATTTATTAAAACTAAGTCTGGTTAATGGAACGTAATTAAAGTTTATTCATTTATAGTAATTGTATTGTAATTAATGGAAATGTGTCAATAAAATAGTAATTATATTCTTCTCTATAGAAAACTTCTGTATGAGTTTTGTTATTTAATTCACGTTGAAACGAAAATGACAAATCGGTGAAAAAAATACACAAAAAACCAACAAAAATCTATATATTGGGTTTAGCCTGCGAAAGAATAATTGTTTTCACGTGTACCATGTGTGCATTTCCTCCTATTTGGTTAGACTACAAAGAGAAAACCTTCCACCGAGCGAGTATCTTATCTCTATAAATTGATGGTCTAGATGTGCTCATTTGTCTCAGTAATGGCAGGGGCATTATCAATCCGCTGCCTATTGCTAGAGTCAATTTCAAATCCTGCCTTTTCGGGCAACATGGTGAGGAGGGCTCCTTACAGAGCTAACAGGTGCAAGATTAAAATGATCTCTTCATTATAAATGAACCCAGCAGTTTCGAGTAAAAGTGTTGGCGGGTAATTTAGCAGTAAAAAAGAGATGAAATGATCTCGCATTTGACTCAAGATGGCAACTATCGTTTGTGACTAAAACAAATATTTATAATAAAAAACTAGCGACCCGCCCTCGCTTCGCTTCGGAAACATTAAATTTTATTATTGATGATAGGTAAGTTCCCTGATGTTACACGCGGTTAATTGTGGTACCGCGGGTGACGCCGCGCGGGCTACCTATCAGTGAAAGTCTCGTCAAAATCGGTGCAGCTGTTCCAGAGATTAGCCGGCACAACCAGACAGACAGACAGACAAAAATCCGTACCGTGTAGTTATATATATTATATATATATATTTATATGCATGCAGTAAAAAGCGGTTATTTTAATATTACAAACAGACACTCCAATTTTATTTATATGTATGTATAGATAACTTACAATAAAACTAAATTCTCCGCCATGTCATCTTCTTCAGTACCGTTTTTCTATTTCCAAATTTCTTGTATTTCTTATTGAATTTCTTCTTCAACATGAACCTGGTTATTCTGAGATACGCATACCTAATACTAGCTGCAGGCAAACACATGGTTCCATCTCAAGATCGAATTCGCTTAGAACAAAAGTCAACTTAATTAACTACAAAGGCAAGATTTCCTGTTTTAATAAATTGAACTTATAGGCCTTATAGAGCTGATATGGATTATGGACACAATGTAAGTCCAACTCCTGTGGAATGCATTACATTCACAACGGATGTAATCGAATCAGTCAGTTCTCTATATTATTAAGAGACTTACAAGAATCTATCAGAACCTATTTCTTACTTACATTAGAAATATGTTCCCATATTACCGATCTGCTGATTTGTTATTTCAAATAGTATCAAAAAAGTCTTATAAAGTGACATTTAAATTTATCAATAAACCCATTTTTTTCTCCAACCAAATCATCAATAATCCCTGCAGACTCTAATGATAATTGACAACGGATTGTACATTTTACTAAGTTGAACAGTCATTTGCGTGAATAAAATTGCAGGTACATGTTTATCACTTACGAACTTTGAAAACACAGTTTCATTGAAATCTACTATTATTTGTCGACGGAAGACTTCAGCTTTTTAGTAAGATTCAGTAACAGTACCGTTACCGAAACAAGTTTTATTTTGTTTTATCGTATCTGTCGTGTGTGCAATTAAAAGATTAAATTCACATCACATTTATAACGTACAATTGGTGTAAATACGTAATTGATGCTGTAACGATTTTGTCTGCCACTTAAAACACTACAATTGCATATTTACAGACCAACACGGTCTGGAGCTGAAACAAATGACTAAGTTTTAAGGCCCCTATCTAAGTTGAGGTAAAATATTTAAATCAGCTACACTAAAACTGATTTGAGGTCTTGGAACTTCATCCCCCGGGTATCTCACAACAAGCAGCGATGACAATGAGCCACAGGTAATTTCGTTTACTCACAATTGCGTTGGTACCACCGTTTTTTTTTACCTGTGGAGCGGTTATTTACGAACCCCGTTAAGTTATTACAAGAGATGAGATGATGTTGCGACCATATTTTAGACAGCACCCACTTTTGGCTGATTATGGACATTAGGGGTTATCCGACTTTTTTTTAATTTTTAATTTTTTATTTTCCCTACCTAAGCTGGTAACTTTAGAGGGTTATGCCAACGTCGCCGAGCGAGTAGGTGAGCTCACGGGCCTCTAACCTGAGAAAGTTATCCGACATGACTTGTCCGCATACAATAAACTACAAATATTTTTATGTCTACATATTATAACTAAAGAAAAAAATTTAGAAGCACCAAATTTTAAATACTACACTATTCTCACTTTACACATAAAACACAAATTAACTTTCTAATCGTTTTTACAAATCGATTTTTTATGACCAAACAATTTATGTAACAAAATTATACAATGGTTAACATTTATAACTCACAATATAGCCAGTCTGGACGAGCTTATACTACGAGCTGAACGAGGAAAATGCACTAAATTAGATTACATATAAGTGTACGTCCCACAAAGACACCGATAAAATAACAACTATGCGTTAATAAAATTGTAAATTTTCGAAGAGTCTAATAGACGATATTAATTGGAGACCTCAAGAGGTTAAGTTCTTCTATGGCATGTTATCAAATTATGGTATAAAATATGTTCTTCTCTGCTCTATTACCCTGTCTTCAAACGACATGTAGGCTGGACGAAGAAACAAAGCGTAAAAAGGCTGAAGTGTGTGTATATATGTGTNAGAAACATAAAAACGGGAGTAAAAGTTAAGAAGGTTGCATCTCAGCCAGATTCGTCACATCAGGAGACGGAATGCATTATTTGCGGTGAAACATTCGATGAGGATTGGATCCAATGCAAAATTGCAAAATATGTGAGGACTGGGCTCACGAAGCTTGTGTAGATTTAAATCCATCTCATTTATACTATTACTGTGATGTGTGTGTCGCCAAAAAACGCATTAATCTTTAAATATCTGGGTGGCCGGAGCTACCCGCCATCTTTAAGGGATACCAAAATTTGATTACTTTTTCAAGTGGCTTTAATTACAAAGGGATTATGTTGTTGTCTGAGTATTCGATATTTATCTTAAATAAATATAATGTTGATTATTTTTAATAGTTTTTTTATTATTTTACTTAATAAATATAGTCATAATATCGAAAACAAAAAAATGGCCGGGGCTATCCCCCTCTCCCCTACATGTTTATCACTTACGAACTTTGAAAAAACAGTTTCATTGAAATCTACTATTATTTGTCGACGGAAGACTTCAGCATTTTAGTAAGATTCAGTAACAGTATCGCTACCGAAACAAGTTTTATTTTGTTTTATCGTATCTGCCATGTGAGCAATTAAAAGATTAAATTCCCATCACATTTGTATCGTACAATTGGTGTAAATACGTAATTGATGCTGTAACGATTTTGTCTGTCACTTAAAACACTACAATTGCATATTTACAGACCAACACGGTCTAGAGCTGAAACAAATGACTAAGTTTTAAGGCCCCTATCTAAGTTGAGGTAAAATATTTAAATCAGCTACACTAAAACTGATTTGAGGTCTTGGAACTTCATCCCCCGGGTATCTCACAACAAGCAGCGATGACAATGAGCCACAGGTAATTTCGTTTAATCACAATTGCGTTGGTACCACCGTTCTTTCTATTTACCTGTGGAGCGGGTATCTACGAACCCCGTTAAGTTATACAAGAGATGATGTTGCGACCATATTTTAGACAGCACCCACTTTTGGCTGATTATGGGCATTAGGGGTGATCCGACTATTTTTATTTTTTATTTATTTTCCCTACCTAAGCTGGTTACTTTAGTGGGTTATGCCAGCGTCGCCGAGCGAGTAGGTGAGCTCACGGGCCTCTAACCTGAGAAAGTTATCCGACATGACTTGTCCGCATACAATAAACTACAAATAATTTTATGTCTACATATAAAACACTTGTTACAACTAAAGAAAAAATTTAGAAGCACCAAATTTTAAATACTACACAGATCTCACTTTACACATAAAACACAAATTAACTTTCTAATCGTTTTTACAAATAGATTTTTTATGACCAAACGATTTATGTAACAAAATTATACAATGGTTAACATTTATAACTCACAATATAGCCAGTCTGGACGAGCTTATACTACGAGCTGAACGAGGAAAATGCACTAAATTAGATTACATATAAGTGTACGTCCCACAAAGACACCGATAAAAGAACAACTATGCGTTAATAAAATTGTAAATTTTCGAAGAGTCTAATAGACGATATTAATTGGGGACCTCAAGAGGTTAAGTTCTTCTATGGGATGTTACCAAATTATGGTATAAAAAATGTTCTTCTCTGCTCTATTACCCTGTCTTCAAACGACATGTAGGCTGGACGAAGAAACAAAGCGTAAAAAGGCTGAAGTGTGTGTGTGTGTGTGTGTGTGTGTGTGTGTGTGTGTGTTTGTACGTGTGTGTGTGTGTGTGTGCATGTGCGTGTGTGTGTGTTGACTGAGCACTGAAGAATTTTGAGATAACCCCATCATCTCTCAATAGAGATTGTACCTCATTGTGCCTTCACATGATTCAACCTCGAAGCAACGTTCATCACAAAATCTCTAGAAACTACGAAACAAACACGCTCTAAGACATTTTCATTAGGCTATCTTAAAGTTTAAGTAATAAAGTTAACATCAGTGATGAGTTCGCCTATTTATTCATTTATTTTTGTAAGTGCACAAAAAACATCCTGTATAAAGTGTCAAGCGCAGGGTTAAGTGGGCTTAACAAGCAAAATTACATTTCATAAGAGCTCCCTTTCCAGCACACGATCCTATGTCGTTTTATGATTTATATTGAATGTTAATTACATTAAAGTCTTCTCACCCGCGTTGTGGTAAGGCATACATAAAAACCATGAATTATGATGCTGACCAGCTTTCGGTACACCTGGTGCGACGTGAGTGGTGCTGTACAACTTAAAACAAGATTGACGTCTCTTTTTTTTATTTTCTATTACTTAGATGGGTGGACGAGCTCACAGCCCACCTGGTGTTAAGTGGTTACTGGAGCCCATAGACATCCACAACGTAAATGCGCCAGCCACCTTGAGATATAAGTTCTAAGGTCTCAAGTATAGTTACAACGGCTACCACATCCTTCAAACCGAAACGCATTACTGCTTCACGGCAGAAATAGGTGGAGTGGTGGTACCTACCCGTGCGGACTCACAAGAGTTCCTAAGTACCACCAGTGATTACGCAAATTATAATTTTGCGGGTTTGATTTTTATTACACGATGTTATTCCTTCACCGTGGAAGTCAATCGTGAACATTTGCTGAGTACGTATTTCATTAGAAAAATTGGTACCCGCCTGCGGGATTCGAACACCGGTACATCGCTACATACGAATGCACCGGACGTCTTATCCTTTAGGCCACGACGACTTCGACTATTGTGTTGCTACAACGCAACGGTTGTCTTACCCTTCACTCCAGAAAGTACCAATGATAAAAGACAAATGAAACGTTATCAATTAGCACCCGAAAGAGGAAAAAAGACCGCCCGATAGGCCGTTAAAAATAATTGTTTAGCAGGAAACACTCATTAGGCATTATTAGTGCATGATAACCGAATGAATATGTTAGAGGAAGTCTGATAGTGGCACCTGTGACAGAGAAGCTGAGAAGTGAACGTTTTTTTTTTTTATTGCTTATATGTGTGGACGAGCTCACAGTCCACCTGGTGTTAAGTGGTTACTGGAGCCCATAGACATCCGCAACGTAAATGCGCCACCCACCTTGAGATATAAGTTCTAAGGTTTCAGTATAGTTACAACGGCTGTCCCACCCTTCAAACCGAAACGCATTACTGCTTCACGGCAGAAATAGGCAGGGCGGTGGTACCCACCCGCGCGGACTCATAAGAGGTCCTACCACCAGTACCACCACCATATACATAAATTGAGAGAGAAGAGTATTTAAATTGTTTTGTTTTAACTATATATTTTTTTCTCTACCTATTCGCTCGTACATAAGCGATTATTCCAGCTACCTATGCGCGGACGGGTATGTGAGCTCACATGCTCAACATGTGAAAGCTTGCTAGCACCAGGATCGGAAGAGTCTAAAAGCACCTGGAGTAAATTTTGGGGATCCGAACAGAAATATTTCTGGCGACAGCGACTTTGCGTTAACTCGTCGCCTGGATCAGATAAGAAACCATAATATCGACAACCTCTTTACACTTATGAAATTACGCCGTGCAGATCAGAACCTAGATGTCGCTATGTTCCAGATACAATTGAAAATCCCCTTCAAGTGAAGGAGACCATTTGTTTTAGTATTTTATTAAATGTAGTGTTTCGTCAACACAGTCTAAATTCAAACTCAACTTTATCACAGACTAAAATCAACAGTGCTTGAAAATACTAAATAAATGAAATCCTTACGCTTTTGCCGTAAATTCGATGTCAGTTTCATAACGTCAACGTCAAATGAAATCATATGTTTTCGAAAATTAAACTTAATATTGTCATGTTAACACAATAATAATATGCTTTTGTCACACTCGTGCATTTCTGATATGTTTAACTTTTTTATAACAGATTCTCCTTGAAAAGCAAAATATACAAAATATTAAATTAAAATAACCCTCAAACAATAACAAAAACACCGTGGAATGTAATTTTAATTTTGTGTTTTTTGTGGATATTGCTTATTAAACGAAACAATTCATTAAAACTTAAGTGTTTAAAGTGCTTAATATTTCTTTATTAGTAGGTATATCTTAAAGAACGCAAATATTTACTGTGAAAACTGTGATTTCACAGGTACTACTAATTTATATTTCGCATCTAATATCTTGAGGTAAATAATAAATTATATGATTCATATTAATTGGTCTGGTCACTGATAAAACCTACCTATCAATCTATCAAAAAGATTTTGAATATCTTAATTTTTAAAAAGAGAGATTAACTTTATGTCTTGAGTTGGACAGAAGCTTTAACTTTACGTGATGGTATATTATAACTCTGCATAGGTAAGTATAATTTACATTTTTCAGCTAATTTTTTTTTCATTCACTTACAATTTACATTTTACACATTAATAGTCGGGATGCAGTAGTCAGGCCGTCATGTCCTTGGTCACCAGTAACCCCTTAACCAGATTATATAAGATACAAAGATTTAATAAGATACTTTTCGTAACAGGAAGTCATCTTCTATATTTTTCAAATTGCAGTAATGAAAAAACGCAAAGCAAATTCCAACCTCATAAGAGTTACAAATAATATTATACCTATAAAGCCTAAAAGTGTACCTGCACTGGCTGAGAACAAGATGCCGATTTGGGAGCCTCGTCAACCGAATGCCGAAGAAACACACATGCAAGGTATTGCTTCAAAATTATTGACCTTTTCAGTCATAAGTACTTTAATATTGTGTAGTAACCATCTATAATGGTGTAGAATAAATAAATAATAAAAGCTCTTTATTATTATTATAAGAGATAAAAGTGTGAATACATAATATATATCGACGCTTGAATGGCAAACGTGACTAAGCGACAATAACTGCTTTATACATAAATGATAGGCAATAACCATATTCGATACGCAAAAAAAAGGTCTATTAGGTCCATTAAAGGTTTATTAAAATCATTAAAGTCTATTAAAGTCATATCTAGGTCTATTAAAATCATTTCAATCCTACAGCTAGATTCTTTAAAATAGATTTTTTTTCAGGTATTTCAACTTTAAATTAGTCTACTGTAAAGTTCACGCATTGTTGCTTAGTCATGTTTGCCTTTGAAGCATCGATATATATATTTTTTCGTAGTTCTTCCAGTCACCCAAAGTATGCTTATTAGAGCTGTCATCATGGTTACCAACACAAATGAGAACTTCCAACTAAAAAAGTACAAGTTTTATGAGAAAGCTAGAAGAGACATTCAGTCACATAGAATGTACTCACAAGGAGCTTAGTTATTCTGTTTAGCAACAAACAAATTCTTTTTCTTAGAATCTGTAAGATATAATGTATAATAGTATTTTTTTACATTCTAGCTCAGACCTCAGCTATATCAAATCCCAATATTATGCAGATGAACAATAAGCCTTTCTCAACAAATTTGACTGCACCTGCAGAGAACAATATGCCGGTGTGGGAGCTTCAACAGCCCAATATCATAGGAGTACAAGGTAAATTTCTCAATTCAATCAATAACTTTCAATTTGTGACTGGTACTGATGAAATGTGGACATTTAAAAAAAAAAGTGTTGCACTCGGGAACTGCCGCGGTAAAGCTATTGCATAGCATTTTTTATCAACTTATGCAATTATAATTAGACAATGATAATTTAATATTAAAACAATAATAAAACAAGACCACATTAAACATTTAAACATTAATAAAAGCAAAACATTAACTGTCCCCTTCACGCTCATAAGCTAGACCGCGCGAGAGAGAGATGGGCAGACTTTTCATGATGCGCATGCAGTGTGACGTCACGCCACGCGCTTATTCACAAACACTACACAAGCGCAACATGTGAATGTCTTGAACGCGAGCTACATGGTAGGCGGAGTGAGGGGTGTAAGGTTTTTTTCGTTACGGAATTTCATGATTCGGTCGCCGCGCTCAAGGCCCGCGATAAAATCTATGCAATAGGTTAATAACAAATTTATGGATTTTATTAATCTAATACATAAAATTCTCGTGTCACAATGTTCGTTCCCATACTCCTCCGAAACCGCTTGACCGATTCTCATGAATTTTTTTATGCATATTCAGTAAGCCTGAGAATCGGCTACTATCTATTTTTCATACCCCTAAGTGATTAGGGTTGTCCACCCCTGACATTTTTTTTTTATTTGGACTTTTTTTTTTGTTATAATGAGGTATTATGTGGTTGAATGAGGTTTTGTTATTTTTATTATATATTCCCTCATCGTTCACAGCACTACATACCTCTTTCACTCATTTACCACATCCTTACACACTTACAATAAGTTCGTTTTTTTTTCTACACTAGCAATTCCCTAGAAATCTTATATATGGCAAAACAATGTTTGCCAGGTCAGCTAGTATTAATATAAAGCATTCGTGCATTCTGGTCTGAAGTTGGAAAGTAAAATTATAATACTATTAGATTTCTTCCTGTGTTTCCTTGCGTATGTGATGCTTATGGATAGACTTTAGAATGTTCTTAGAAATTTTAGACGTATGCAGTGACTTGGCTCTGCCCTTGGCATTTCTGATGTTTATGAGTGACGGTAACTACTCACTATCAGATGGGCCGTAATATCGTCTTATTTGTATTTATGGTACTTAAAAGTATAAATATTCATTGTTCTCAATTAAATGACGTTTCTGTATACTTGGTAATCATTTACAAAAAAATGCCCATTCTCTTTCAGAGAGTCCCTTCCGACTTCAGCTGAATCCGACACCCCAAACAACACCAATGTTGCCAAACTTCCAACATCTGCCCCACGAGCAAACGCAATACCGACCTCAGTTGCCTATTCACATACACAACGACCTGAGATCTTTTGTCCCGCCCACACTTGGAGTTCAGCCCTCACCAAACTTCGAATCTATATTGCAGCAGCAACAGTTACCGATAATTCAAACTATACCTCCAACGCAAGCAATGTTTACGCAACCTCTGCCATCAACATCAGCAATGCAACTTCCGCAACTGATACCATCGGCACAACTAATGCAGCCTGCGCAACCAGTGCTGTCAGTGCCAGTCGCGCCACTCATGCCGTCACCACACCCCATGCCCGCACCGCTGCCGGTGCCGCCACCACAGGCCCCCTTCCCGCCGAGACAACAAACATCAGCGGAGAGCCATGTGATCGCGTCCCATCAGAACCCATCTGCGCGGGACGCGTGCGTCGAACCTCCGAACTACGCAGCCTTGGATACTTTACAAGAAACAGAAGGTAAAACATTTAATATGAATCTTAACGCACTTTATACGTGTACAGTTCGTCTTGTGTCGTTTTGAAGTCGTCGTGGCCTGAGGGATAAGACGTCCGGTGCATTCGTGTTGAGCGATGCACCGGTGTTCGAATCCCGCAGGCGGGTATCAATTTTTCTCATGAATTACGTACTCCACAAATGTTCACGATTGACTTCCACGATGAAAGAATAACATCGTGTAATTAAAAATTAAACCCGCAAAAATTCTAATTTGCGTAATTACTGATGGTAGGACCTCTTGTGAGTCCGCGCGGGTAAGTACCACCGCCCCGCCTAATTCTGCCGTGAAGCAGTAATGCGTTTCGGTTTGAAGGGCGGGGTAGCCGTTGTAACTATACTGAGATCTTAAAACTTATATCTCAAGGTGGGTGACGCATTTGCGTTGTAGATGTCTATGGGCTTCAGTAATCGCTTAACACCAGGTGGGCTGTGAGCTCGTCCACCCATTTAAGCAATAAAAAAAATGTGTCCGACCTTTTAATTCTTGTGGTTTTTTTAAGAACCCAAAATGCCCCCTTAACTGTCCGCCCTGACAAGGGATTTAATTAATAAAAACGAGGCCAACGAACTATACAGACACTGCACCGTCACCATCCCCGCCAGGCGGACATAGAGCCAACTGAACGAGCTTGGGCTCACTAGAGTTGACATATCGAGTTCTTTTGTTGTATTAAATAAAATAAATAAATAAATTATTTTACAGACAGTAGACAATCGACATCACGGAACCCACCAGGGGCGTCCCTAAATAAACGAGCGGCCCCCCACAAGCGGAGTGCCGCGGAAAAGCAGAAGAAACAGAAACTAACCACACATTTGAGATCCGAAAACACTCAAAGACCCCAGTAAGTTTGATTTTGTGTTTGGTGTGACGTCAGGCCAGAGGCTGCCGCCACCGCCCTCAGTACTCTTGAAGGGCTCACGAGCGCGCAGCCCACCTGCTTCTAAGTGCTTCACTGGAGTGAATAGACATCACGCCCTGAAGATGCCACTTCGAAACGAGAAATTGATTTGTACAGGACATACATCGTATATTGTATAACGGCCGTCTGATCCTCGCTGGTACCCGGGACACTTCTCCTTAATACGTGACTTTGGTGTTCTAAAACAGATGTGGCATTTTAGGCAAGTAGGTAAACCAACAACGCCCAGTGAGTTCACCCCGGTCCATCTCCGCGAGGACGTGCGGGCCAGCACGGAGCCCGTGGTGATGCGGTACCTCATGTCTTGGCCATGGAAGAACGAAGTCAGGATTAGAGCTTCTGCGACAGTCAGACACTCCAAGGTGGGTACCGTCGCCGCGTGTCCCCACGCCTTCCACCCAGCACGTTGCAGGACCCCACGAACTTTAAACGTTCTGTATGTAAACTAGTCAGTTTAGGAACTTGGTAAAAATGCTGCGGTCACTAACTACATACTTTGGAATATAATATAACTAGCAGACCCGGCCACACATTGCTGTGGCTAACGTCTTTGTTTCTAAATAACACGTGGCCGGCTGTGCTAATACCAAGAATTTACAAAATAAGAACAATTGGATTTCACTGTATTGCGTTTACTACGAAATAAATTTCACTTATACTTTAGCCTCAGCAACACGTGGTGTTTATGCCATCAAATTGTAGCTTATATGAAACGTTGGTATTTTTAACATAACGCTATCTAGGAGATATTAATGTCAGATAGTATTACAACTATCTGTAAAGTGATTTTAGGCGCCATCTGTTTTAGACTTATGAAACTTACAATTAATAACAATAATTAACATAAGAAATCTTTTTATTGTTAATTAATAAATATTGCGACCATTAAGCGAAATAAAAACCATCCTATGGCCTAATTTGAAACAAAACACATATTTCAAAAAAAAAGTTAAAATGGGTTCAGTAGTTTAGGTGTCCATCGCGGATAAACAACGTCACACGTAATTTATATAGATTAAGATAACAAAAAAAATAATAATAACAAAATAATATATTATTTTGGAGGATTCGAATTCTCAGTTGTCGTGGTCGCGGGCGGCTAATATGTTATTACATTTGCATACAGTATGTTAACCACTGTCTATTTTTCTAGGAAAAAAAAACTAGGCTTTTACGTCTGATTTCACTCAAAACGATCTAAAAGTACCTTGAGATGTGGCAAATTCTTTGATTTGGGTCTTTACCTTCGATAAGAAGACTCACACATAATTAAGATAAGGGCCCACCACCTTCTCTGTTAAGTTTGGGTAGTATTTTTATTTATGGTAATGGGATTGCGCAGAAACGTGAAATTAATCGGTTTGTAGTGAGTATTTGGATTTTATCAAACCTTTGGTTGGCGTCACTGTGAGTGCGTGCTGACAAGCTGCAGACTTGTGCACTCTTGTCGTCCGCTGGGTGCTCCTTGCCTGTCGCTGGTACGTGTTTCTAGTCCAGTTTCTAGACACCACGCTCCCGCAAGGATATGCTACGCTGCGTGGATCCTTGGTCTGGACTAGTTTAGAAATATTTTTACAGAAAAATTGACGGTAGTTAGCACAATGTTCAAGTATCGACGAATAGCACCTTGGTCGTTCGCGACCACGGACTGTGGGAAGAGAATCGGTGCTAAGACTCGCATAATATTCCAGTCGCAGATGATAGCGGAGCAAGAGCTGATGGAGCAGCAGTACAGCGACCCGGCGCAGTTCTTCCAGGTGTCGGTGCGCGGGCACGGCGCCGCCCGCCCGGAGCCCGTGCTGGACGCGCTGCTGGCCAGCGTGCGCGGACGCAGCCTCATCCCCTGCTTCGTCCAGGTAATCCCCCCCGACCCCCCACCGCCCTCTCCTCTCACTATACACTGCATCAATATCAAACTACTTTACAAGATCGAAAAACAATAATTACGTTATCAATATTCTGTGACCCCAAATAACAAAGTGCATAAATAAAAGTCGTCGTGGCCTGAAAGATAAGACGTCCGGTGCATTCGTGTTGAGCGATGCACCGGTGTTCGAATCCCGCGGGTGGGCACCAATTTTTCTAATGAAATACGCACTTAACAAACGTTCACGATTGACTTCCACGGTGAAGGAATAACATCGTGTAATAAAAATCAAACCCGCGAAATTAAAATTTGCGTAATCACTGGTGGTAGGACCTCTTGTGAGTCCGCACGGGTAGGTACCAGCACCCTGCCTATTTCTGTCGTGAAGCAGTAATGCGTTTCGGCTGTAGGGTGGGACAGCCGTTGTAACTATACTGAGACCTTAAAACTTATATTATTATCTCAAGGTGGGTTTCGCATTTACGTTATAGATGTTTATGGGCTCTAGTAACCACCTAATACCAGGTGGGCTGTGAGCTCGTCCACCCATCTAAGCAATAAAAAAAATCACTAATTAAATTAAACTCCAATTGACACGTGTTAGTAAGATGCATATATGTCGGTCCGCTGAGACACAATAGGCTGTCCATTACCGGGCGGTCCCGCCTGCGCTTCATTAGCTGTATTTTTCAGATGACGGAAGAGGAATGCAAATTCCTGGTGATTCGTTGCAAGACGGCGCTGCTGGCCATACACAAGTACGGGTTCGTGCTGGGCGGCGACGGCGCGCGCATGACGGTCACCGTCTCCGCGGTGGACATCACCACGGCGACGCTGGACTTTTTACCCAAAGTCGTCCTAAAGAAGATTTTAACGTCGAGGTACAAGGACGGTCAGCTGGACCTCAGCGCCTTCACCGCGGGGCCCGGTCAGTACTGTCCCAGTTCACTTGCTTCGACCCACACAACATCCCGCGACACGAATTGGTTAAAAAAAATATTTTTACGCACTGCGATTGATCGGATTCGGGTGAAACGAGATCCTCCCCAACCTCGAAGGTCGGGTTGACCACTGGGCGTGAGGTCTGGATTAATTAAATTACCATCGGACGGCTCTGTACTGCGAGGAACCAAGTGATGTTGGGGGCCGCACCTCGCGCTACCTCATGCGACTCAGTGGGGGTCGCCCCGGGACCTCTCCGTGTCGCTTGTCTTGTGGCTGATTGTCTGATGATTTGTTCCAGACATAAAACACTTTATCTACTACCCACTGAATCGCGTCAGCAACCAGACGGAGATATTCCAAATAGAGTCTACGTTCATATGGGAGAACCTCACGCACCTCAACCTCTCACGCAACAGGATCACGTAAGTCCCTTCGAGCTCGGAAGCGGCGCGCGCTGCTCAGTGCGACGCTCTCCTCGCGGAATTCTTAAATTCAGATTGTTTAGTTTTTGAAGTGAAACTTCTTTAGAATTGTTGTGATTTCAAACTCGATAAAACGAAATGAACGAAACGAAAAAATAAGTGTGCCGCGCTTGGCTTGCCGAAGCGGCTCCGAGCGGCGCCGACAAGTCACGAAGCGTTTCACGCGGTCTCGCGTCCCCGACTTGTTCACTGTGTATTTGACCTCCGTGCACGTCGTGGTTCTCGGAGCGCCCTGAGATACTTTTATTCCTATTTCGTTTGCTATCATCAGACGTCGCTGCACGTAAATTCAACAATTCCTGAATCGCGGTGACGAGATGTTACACAGTTGGTAAACGTTCTCGTATTTCTCTTGCTACATCGTACCTACCTGACGTAGGGATACCGTAATCATGCAGACGGTTCCCCCAGGGTGAGGCAGCTCCATTGCACTGCGGAATGGTTGACCCTTGCGATTATTATATTTTTTATAAGTTTCACTTTTACCGTGTTTGACTTGCACACATGCTTTTTTTTGTTTCTGTCCGTCAGACTTTAAAATTAGTTCTCACTGTTTGATTCTGCTTGAGCCGAGGCCCCTGGACGGTTGCAGTTCGCTGGTCGGGTTGAACCTGGCGCAGATGACGCCCCGGCTGCGGCACCTGGACGTGTCGCACAACGCGCTGGGTCGGCTGGGCGCGCTGCTGGCGGGGCGGGCGCTGCCGCTGCGCGCGCTGCTGCTGGAGGGGAACCCGCTGTGCGCCGACTGCACCGACCCCGACCGATACGTGCAGCTCGTCCAGATGATATTCCCTACGCTCGTCACCCTCGTGAGTCTGCAATTAACTTTACGTTTACGGATTACATGTAAGGGGGGCGGGGGGGCGCACGGACTCAAAGTCTGCAGTATATACCTAGTCAGGTCATAAATTCTGTCACATGTTTAATGTAAAATAATTGAAACAAGTTTATTCATTATGTAACCATTCATATACCAAAATGAACTTAACAAAACATAGATTCTTATGACACTAAAGTTTATTCAAAATGACCTCCGTGATTTTGAATACAGGCCTTCAATCTGCGCGGCCAGTCGTCTATCGCAGCACGAACGAGGTCCATGTCAATATCGGCGGCTGCCTTAATCAAGGATGTCTTGAGTGACTCCAAATTGGGATGAGGCTTTGAGCACGCCTTTTCCTCCAAGTGTTGCCATATCTTGTAATCTAACGGATTCAAATCTGGACTGGAGGAGGGCCAGTCTTCGTGCCGGATGAAGTCGATTTCACGCGCCGCCAGCCAGTCTTGTGTGCTCTTCGCTCTATGAGCTGGCGCCGAATCTTGTTGGAATACCCAGTGCCTGTTATTGAACATGGTATGAGAAACAGGTTCCACAAGGTTCGTCAGGACTGTATTTTGATACACAACTGCATTCGTTTTTACACCTTTCTCACAAAAATGTACCTCTGTTAAGCCCCAATAAGAAACTCCCAACCATACCGTGAGCGAGGATGGAAAATGACCTCGTTGGACACGCGGAATACGGTTGCTCGCTTCTTCACTACTGTGTGCGTACACCTTATCATTTTGTTTGTTGTAGCTCTCTTCTACGGTAAAAATTTTTTCATCCGAAAAAACAATTTCCCGATATTTTTTTCCCGCGTACCGCTTCAACAAAGCGCGGCATCTCTTCAGTCTCAGGTCCATTAGACGAGCATTCAAACGATGTCCTGTTTTTCTTAGATATGCCCGAAGCCCTAAGTCTTCATTTAACACCCTTTTCACCGTGGTTCTGCTTAACCCCATCTGAAGGGCCAACAGTCTCTGCTTACGTTTGGGATTTCTTTGAACAGACCGAGGGCGACCACTTCTTGACCTGTCATCTACACTAGAGTCTTCATTGTATCGTTTGATGGTACGATAAACGAATCTTTTGGTTATATTCAAAGTTTTCAGTATGTTAAAAATTTGAATTGGCGCGTAACCGCAACGATGCAACGCAATAACTGCAACACGGTCCACTTTAAGCATCCACTCCATATTTAAAAATGAGTAAAATTCTAAATGTATACATTTTTATTTTCATGAACAATTCGAAATTCGAATTCAATAAACTTTTTTGTGGCCAGCATTCTAAAAGAAAAGTTTTTACTGTGTGACAATACTTATGACCTGACTAGGTATATATTAATACGTGAACCAAAAACTTTGTACCCCTTTTACGAAAATATTGAGTCGTCATGGCCTAAAGGATAAGACGTCCGGTGCTTTTGTAGGTGAACAGATGCAACGGTGTTCGAATCTCGCAGGCGGGTACCAATTCTTCTAATGAAATATGTACTTAAAAAATGTTCACGATTGACTTTCACGGTGAAAGAATAACATCGTGTAGTAAAAATCAAACCCGCAAAATTATAATTTGCGTAATTACTGGTGGTGAGACCTCTTGTGAGTCCGCACGGGTAGGTACCACCGCCCTACCTATTTCGGCCGTGAAGCAGTATTGCGTTTCGGTTTGAAGGGCGGGGCAGCCGTTGTAACTATACTGAGACCTTAAAAGTCATGTCTCAGGGTGGGTCGCGGCATTTGCGTTGTAGATGTCTATGGGCCCCAATAACCACTTAACACCAAGTGGGGCGTAAGCTCGTCCACCCATCTAAGCAATTAAATATATATAATAGCGCTCAGGAAACGTGGAAACGCGTACGGATACTCCTTGGAATTGCGACACCATGACAAAGGGGTCCTGCACCACGCTCCGAAAAAGACTGATGGCCGATATATCGTGCATCCCCCGTACTGTCATCCGCATAGCAATGCATGCCATCAATGGATAACATGGCATTATCAATGGATAGGATGAAAAGCGTGGGGGAGAGCACCCAACCTTATGGAACGCCAGCGTTAATGGTCGTGGTATCAGAGCAGCGAACGTCAACAACGACAGTGATGATCCGCTCATCCAAATACTAACGATCCAATTGCAGTCTCTCGGGGATTCCGTAAAATGGTACTTTCGACAGAAGTGCCCTATGCCAGACTCTGTCGAAGGCCTTTGCGATATCCAGGCTTACAGCGAGAGCCTCGCCCTTACTCTCCAAGGCTTCAGCCCATCTATGAGTAAAGTAAACAAGAAGATCACCAGCTGAGCGACCATGAGGGAAACCGTACTGTCGTTCACTGATCAGCTGGCGATTCTCAAGATACTTTAGGAGTTGCGTGTTTATTATTCGCTCCATTACTTTGGAAAGCAAGGAAGTTATTGCGATAAGCCTATAACTCGATGGGTCCGACCTGTCACCTTTCTTGGGGATAGGGTGGGCATGAGGCAATATTCCGGGAACCCTGTTAGTACGCGTTCGAGGCCCTGGCATACTAGAAATGAGTGGGATAGTCAAATCAAGAAACTATTACTATGAACTGCTAGAGTGACTATCACATGAGATGAAGGTAACAGTAATGTGTTCTGCCCCCAGGACGGGATCCACATCAAGAGGAAAGGGGAAATCCCGAAGTCAGTCCGCAAGACGTACTGCCCGGACGACGCTAAGGAGATAGTGCACGAGTTCGTGCAGGTGTACTTCCCACTGCTGGACTCGGCGCTGGAGCAGCGGGCCCGCCTGGCGCAGCTGTACCACCGACACGCGCTCGTGGACATCAGCTACAACCCGGCGCTCAGTGCGTGCGCTCACATACATACGCCTTATTTCATTCAATTAATGTAGATTAATATTCGAAATAAATGAATGAATGAAAATTCTTTATTGCACAAAATAGTGTACAAAGGTGAATTTAACGCTATGCAGGCAATCGAAATAAATATTTTAGTGAATTTTACATTACCTACTGGAGTAGGTAAGTGGAGTACTTTAACTAATAATGTTTGATGCAGTCCTTTTGCAGTCTAATAATAGATGGCGCCACCAACATTATTTGCTTAGAAAATATTTTTTAAAGTGCATATTTTATCAGGTTTTATTTTTAATATAAATTTAATACTGGTGGTAGGTACTTGAGACCTTAGAACTTATATCTCAAGGTATGTGGCGCATTTACGTTGTAGATGTCTATGGGCTCCAGTAACCACTTAACACCAGGTGGGCTGTGAGATCGTCCATCCATCTAGCAATAATTTTTTTTTATATAATAATAATAGTTAAATATTTTGACAGTCATTTGAGTCTTTAAACAAAAAATGAGACATTAAGCATCTTTTAAATGTTTTCACATCAAAACAGTGGCTACTAAATATATATTTTTTTATTGCTTAGATAGGTGGACGAGCTCACAACCCACCTGGTGTTAAGTGGTTACTGGAGCTCATAGACATCTACGACGTAAATGCGCCACCCACCTTGAGATATAAGTTCTAAGGTCTCAAGTATAGTTACAACGGCTGCCCCACCCTTCAAACCGAAACGCATTACTGCTTTACGGCAGAAAGAGGCAAGGCGGTGGTACCTACCCGTGCAGACTCACAAGAGGTTCTACCACCAGAATTAATGAAATAATAATTATGAAATAAGGTAGAACAGCAGCATAAGTAAGTAGGAGTGTTGCGGCAGGGTCGCGGCGCGGCGCGGCGGGCGTGTGCGTGCGGGCGCGGCGCGGCGGCGGGCGGGCGGCGCTGCTGCGGCGGCTGGCTCGCTGGCCGCGCCTGCACCACGACCGCCTCTCCTTCACCGTCGACGTCTTGTACCACTCGGTCAGTACCCCGCTAGTCCCACGCTAGTCCCACGCCAAGCGCAACAACTCTATAAGCGGTAGGCAGCGGCTTGGCTGTGCCTCTGGCATTGCTGAAGTCCACGGGCGACGGTAACCACTCACCATCAGATGGGCCGTGCGCTTGTTGCAAACGAGGACAATAAAAAAAGGGTTCCGTAATCAAATATCAAACAACAGAACCCTCATAATTTTATCCAATCCGTGCGTCACAACCGTATCAACTAGAATTAGAGTATCGTAATTTAAACAATAAGGACAACTAACTCTCCATACAAGTTAGAAGGAGATAAACAACACAGCACGAGTGACGTCGCGCTGCCGAAGCACGAAACCCTCGGGCCGTCAGACACGAACGCGCCCGGCCTAAACAATTAGGAGTGGGTGATATAAATCGTATATAGATTCAATATCTATATATCGCAGCAATATCGTTGAATCCGATATCGCCCCGCACGAAATCTATATATCGATATCAGCCGATACACGATATTGCTCGATGTGATGCGCATCGGCATATCGTACCGATTCGTTAATATCAGCAATATTCGTTTGGTTCGTATCGAATCGGCCAGAGTGAGTGAGCGCACGATAGGGATATCATGTGATGAATGAAACAGAAACAGGCATTATCCATACAATTGTAAACCTTATATTTAAGTCCATATGTCTGTAGATTATTCTTAGCGTATCAGCAGGATACAATTAAGGAAAGAAGTTTCAACTTTCGACCCTAACTTGAATGCAGTATAGCCTATTTGCATCGTTGAATTTAATTTCACGCGCTTTGACCTTGAGCTAGAATTTTTGGACAAGTGTTTATAAATACTTAAAAGTTTTTTGTGTTTGATTTTTAAAGTACACATTTTTCTATTTTTAGTTGAATCCAAATAATTGAGTTTATTTCTTGTTTGTATTAAACTTTTGAAATCTACACTCTTTTGGTATATTTTATAATTTTAAATTAAGACACAAAATAATAAAAACTGAAAATAATGTAGCCAGTCCTAAGCCTGGTAAAAGCATGAAGGAAAGTTTTTTTGATATTTTTATTTTCATGTTCTTTTTATTACTTTAAGATCATAATTATAAATTGATATCAGAAAACCAACCGTATAACGTTGACTTCAATCTATATCTACTACGATATTATATCAGCGTATCGTTTCAAATCTCAAATATCATGAATCGAGAAAATCTACTAGCATCCATCAATATATAGATTCAGAAAATATATAGATTCAATATCCGATATTGATCCTCGATATATAGATACGATTCGATACGCGGCAAAACCGATATTACCCACTCCTATAAACAATATTGTGAGGGTCGTTGACCTCACAAGCTTCCTACGCATCCATTGCTGTTTCACAAAATATTCAATGACTATATTTAGTCTAAATGCTAGTCGTCACTTAAACATTGGTACATACTCGTGTAAAAGTCATGTTTCTTGCAAGCTTGGCTTCTCTAATTGGAATCGATTAGTAGATTGCACCATAAGCTCCGCCATTCAATCTATTTCCGCTGCAAAACCGACCAACCCGTAGTACCATCTCTATTGAACCATAAAAGTGCTTACGAATGTGTCCAGGACGAAGCCACGATCTTCAGAGTGGGCGGCGTCGTCAAATTGACGTCTGATTGTCTTGCTGACGAAGAAGAGATGATCTACTTCAGCAGGACCTTGGTGCTGAAGGCTGAAGGCACGACAGAATACAAGATACATAACGAAATGCTTTACTGGGACGAAGTCACCGACCAAACTGCAAAAGCCGCCTTCCAGGTCACGGAGGTGAGATGTTCCACTTACAATTATTGCTCGCTTTTATTAAGGCATACAATTGAACGCACAGATAATTTTATTAAAAACAATACAGGCTCCCGTAATATGTTCACCTAACATAAAATGTTAATGCTTTCAAAATTCTACACTGACTTATGGTATTTATATGTAGTTCTTTTATTTACCATTGAATATTAATTTTATAGAAAAGGTAAGAAGTCTAAGGATATTTACAATGGCACCTTAGTTTAAACTACAAACAAATATTCTTTTCACAGCAAATGTAAATATCAATTTAGCATAAACATATTTCCTCACCGTGTCAAGGGTATCCTTAAACAATAATTATAATACATCTGAGACCTTCAACTCCTTGTCCCAGGGGGGTAGCAAACATCTCCTTTTAAAGTACATATTATGTTTCTTAATTATTCTAGTTGCACACCCTCTCTGATGTTAACAAATACTTTATCGGACATGAAAGAAGTTTAAAGATAAATTTCTGCCGCACAGTATTCATACCTTCTGTTCTGAAGGATACAATAATGGTATTATTACTAGTACAATCAATAATATAATTACTGTTGAGAATTCAAACTCACATAGACTTAGTGATGTGTTCGAGCTGCTGTAAGCTTGTCAACCCAGCACTAAATAGTCCTGGACGTTCAATCATAGGTTCCAGTTAAACTTGTCTCATCTCTTCATTCAAGATGGAATACCCGATTTATATGCTACTGCTGTACCATTTACCACCAAGTAGTAGTACAAACTGTGTTATGAAAAAAAAATGTAGTCTGTACACTCAGAGGTGAATGGATGTGATTATAAACATAACTAAAAAGTATCTAAAATATAAAATGAAAACAATGTTTATTTATTATGACTTATTTTATTGTATTTTAATTTTTACAAAATCTAGTATATGTGTGTTTCTTATAATGATGATATCTAATGGTCAGTCGAGGTCATTTGTATTATATTACCATTAACAAAACAATAATAGTAAAAATAATTTATATTTGATATTGTAATTCAAATGTGTAGTTTACAAATAGGGTATGAATATACTGGTGTATTTGTCAAACGCTTAAAACTATTTGAACATACTTATCGCCATGCAAGGGGCACTCAACCCATTCCGAACGAACGCAAATATAGGTTAATTAAAGGAACTTGGCACTGTCGGCTCAGGCGCGTTGCTGCGGATCACACGGTGTCCATCGACTCCTCCACCAGCGGCTCCGTCTCCATCTCCATGTCCCTGTCGTCCGCTCCAGATGCGTATTTCATCCTTAGCTTCTCGTAATGAAGCTGCTCCTTCGCCGAAACGGAAGGTTTGCAGCGCGCTAGGGCCGCACGAAAGTGCTCGGCGCGCACCGACACGTCGGCGTCCGCCCCGCGACCCTCGGCGATGAGCTCGCTCAGTGCTAGCGTGGCCGCAGTCCGCACCAGTCCGCCCAGGTCGGCACCTGTGTACCCGTCGGTGAGCCCTGCCACCTCGCGCAGGTCCACGTCGGCAGCCAGGCGCGGCCGAGATCCTCCCTTGGTGAGCTTGACGAGGATATCGCTTCGATCGTCCCGGGCCGGCATGCCGACGTACATAACGCGGTCGAGTCGGCCGGGCCGCAGTACGGCGGGATCTATAATGTCCGGTCGGTTGGAGGCTGCGAGTACGAACACGCCCTCGCGCCCTTCGATGCCGTCCATCTCAGTAAGGAGCTGGTTGACGACGCGAGCCGCACCGTCGTGATCGCGTGACGTTCGTCGCGGACAGAGCGCATCAAACTCATCAAAGAATATAACGCAGGGTGCCGAGTTCCGAGCTCGACGGAAGCAAGTCCTGACGGCGCGCTCGCTCTCACCCACGTACATATTGAGCAGCTCAGGACCCTTAACTGAGATAAAATTAACGCCAGCTTCATTGGCCACTGCTTTTGCCAACAAAGTTTTACCGCATCCTGGTGGACCACAAAGAAGCACACCGCTCGCCGCAGACAGTCCTAAGCTGTTTAAGAGTTCTGGGTATTTAACTGGACCAAGTACAGCCAGTTGTAAATCCTTGCGGACTTGCTTTAACGACCCCACATCATCCCATGTTACATCTGGGACAGTCACAATACCCTCCCTTACAGCACAAGGTTTTGTGGTCTTTAAAGCTTTCAAAAAATCTTCTTGTTTAATGGCAAGGCCTGATAATTTGTCTACGCTGTATGGCCTGACATTGAGAAGCTCTAAAACTTCATCAACAATGCTAAGTTTTTCTGGAGGGTTACTGCTTACATTCTCTTCCTGTCCTTCTGTAATATCCTTGTTTGCCTCATTACTTATTGGTTCAATAGGTAGCTGCTCCTCTGTAGGTTTAGCTACATCATCCGTTGTCTCATTTTCTTTATTTTTGTCTTCACTTTCTTTTTCACCATTTGATACAATAGCGATCTCATCATTATTTGAATCAACTTTAATGACTTCTTTACTAGCTTTTAATTCTTCTGCATGAATTTCACTAAATATCCTTTTCACTGCATATGTGCTAGCTTTGTTCACCAGAGCTTGTAAATCAGCTCCAACGAAACCGGGAGTGACTTGAGCTAAAATGTTCATGTCCACATCTTCACTCAACGTTATGTTTTTACAGAGAATGTTTATTATTTCTTTCCTAGCCTTTAATGTAGGGATACCTAAAGTAATCTCTTGCTCTAGGCGACCTGCCCTTCTCAAAGCAGGATCTAAGGCATCAGGGTTATTTGTAGCTGCAAGAACTAAAACTGAAGAGTTATTTTCACTCAAACTATCTAAACTAGCCAGTAATTGAGCAACCATACGTTTTTCCATGTCTTTTTGTGCATGTATTCGGTTACCACAAACTGCATCAATTTCATCAATAAACAACACACTTGGTGCGGCAGCTTGAGCTCTCTCAAACAACTCTCTAATTCTCTCTTCCGACTCGCCAGACACACCTCCAACTAATTCAGTTCCAGTCACAGAAACAAGAGGTAACTGCAGTTTACCTGCTATTGCATGTGCTAATAAGGTTTTACCCGTCCCCGGAGGGCCATGTAGTAATGCTCCTCTGGGTGCTTTAATTCCCAATTTACTATATACTTCAGGGTGTTTCATGTGTAATATCAAGTCGCAGATCTGCGTAATGATGTCAGAAAGACCACCAATATCCTCAAAACCTATTTTAACCATTTTTGCTGATCCAGTCTCATGTTTTTTCTTTGGTGCTCCACTTTTATTGCTGTCAAGCTTACGTTTTTTATCAAGTGGTTGGTTTTGTTGTTTGAGTGCACTCTCAATCGCCGTGCTGTTAGTTCTGGCTGGGATATGTGGTGTGATAGTTATTTGGTCGTTAATTTTCGGTAATTTGGGAGCCGCACTGCCGTCTTCATCGCTGCTCAAGATGTCGATAGGCTCGCCTGCCTTGTCGGTGGGGCGCCGACTCGCAGCCGGACGTTTTTTATCTTGCATTTTGTACATGGCCAATATACGTTCGTTTAACGCACTGGTGTTTTCGTCTAACAATTCTAAATCTGACTCTTCCTCCGACCCATCTGATGTGGACGCTCCGTCGAGGCCGTAACTCTGTAGTACAACCTTGTACGCAGCTTCGACCATCTGACAGAAGGCAGTGTCGCTCCTATTGTTATACTCGCGGTACCGCTCTTTCAGAGAACGCGCCATTTGACTGACATCGACAAACGTTTTGTCCACATTTTCGGCCAAATAATTTTTTACACGTGACACTATTACGGGATCATTCAAAGTCTTTTGCCTTNCGTCGAGGCCGTAACTCTGTAGTACAACCTTGTACGCAGCTTCGACCATCTGACAGAAGGCAGTGTCGCTCCTATTGTTATACTCGCGGTACCGCTCTTTCAGAGAACGCGCCATTTGACTGACATCGACAAACGTTTTGTCCACATTTTCGGCCAAATAATTTTTTACACGTGACACTATTACGGGATCATTCAAAGTCTTTTGCCTTGTATTGTGAGTTTTCTTCATTTCCAAGAGATTTCGTCTCAGTATTGTTTGTAAAAAGGTTAAATTTCCACAACGGGCAAAACGCAATGTTTTTCGTTTGACAGCGGCGTCTCAAATCGATTGAATGTTGCCAATAGAAAATAATTCTACTCTTTTAATGATGTTGTTTATAGCCATTGGTAACTCGACCTTTAAGCCCATAGTTGTAATTCTTGTAGTAGTTAAACTTAATTTTATGAATAATTTCAGAAGAAATGTCATTCGATTTTGTTCCATTTCCCCAAACAAAATATCGTTAGAAAGATATAAGTATATTATAAACTAAGATATAAATAGTTTTTTGAATACTTTAACAGCCCATATGCGATGTTACTTGCTACGATGATGCTTTTTAACAAATACTAAAGCGTTCTTACATCAGACATATAATTACATGCTTACTGAATTAAAAAAAATACTTTAATTTATCAGTAACTTTATTTAATGTTGACAATGGGAAAACCGTAAAAATACAAATAATAGGTACAAAATGTATATTAGTTCTACCTTCTAACTTAATTTCACTATTTTAGATAAAACTACTAATCGGTTGCTCTCTACAACAAAAAAGCGACACTTGAAGTGTATCCTATTGTAATTTAATTCCACAATTCTAAATAGAAAACAATTTGAATTTCACAGTACTTTTTACCTAAAGGCCATATTGTTTCACTATCACCGCTGCTTCATGAGCATTGTGCAATGTGTAGTGTAGTGCGAGCGCGGCCAAATTCAAATTAAACAAAGTACCTACATTTTCTTCGCTAGATATCATCGCCCATCAATACCTAAGTTTATTTAGTGTTATTGTTGCTTGTTTTACATGCTTACCTATAGGCTAGGTACTTTTTATTGCAGGTTCCAACGACGCCGTTGAACCTGAACATGGATTCACCCGAGGATGAAATAAAACAGAAAATAGTTGAAATTTTTATGTCTATTACGAAACTTCAGAGTCAACCGAGTGAAAAGTATGTTGTTTATTTAAATTATGTCAGTAAAATTACAGTTATACTTGTTTAGATCTGAAATTTAAAATCTATAATAGTTGTTTAAGTATTCATTGATTTATTTTTCTTTTGAAAAATTTTCGGTAAATTGAAATACTTGTTCAGTAATTTATTTTAAAATAATAATTTTTACAGGTGTTTAGAATTGAACAATTGGAACTTGAAGACCGCTCTGGAGTACTTTATCAATCTACTAAAAGATAACAATTCAGATGATATTATGTAATAAATAAGTATGAATAAGATCTAAAGATTTGGCATAAAAAGAATCCCTTTCTGCTAAAAGAAGCTACATATTATAAGACATGCGAAATATTTTAAACCTTTTGATTATCTAAATAAGTATTTTATATCTAAGTAAATTAAAGCATTTAAGTAAGGTGTAACTTGTTCCCACACTTAAAAGTACATTAAAGATTAAAAAGCAGTTGGTGATAGAAAATATCGTTTCAGCTCGTCGTCATTACTTTCTTTAAAAAGCTACCTATATATCCGAACTCTTACTCGACCACACTTTCACCTCTATTGCATACCGTCAAACTAGCCAACATTGCCCACATTTTTTAAATAACACTAGATATTTCAAGATTTTTTTATGTAGCCCAATACATATTTGTTTATCTATGGCAACAATAAGTTCATATGCATGCATATGTTTACTTAAATATAACATTAGTCATCGTTTTCTCGATAATATAAACAATTTTCAAGGCGGGTAAAGTTATCTAGACTTTTGCCCAACATTACCAACCTTTAATTTTAGCACAACAATAACATTTAGATGAATGCCATAAGATCCAATAAAAACATTTTGGCAATATAAGCGATCGCCCAAAATGTTTACTCAATATCATAAAATAAGTTCATATGCCTAAAATGTTTACTCAATATCATAAAATAAGTTCATATGCATGCATGTGTTTACTTAATTTTAACATTAGTCATCGTTTTCTCGATAATATAAACAATTTTCAAGGCGGGTAAAGTTATCTAGACTTTTGGCCAACATTACCCTCCTTTAATTTTAGCACAACAATAACACTTAGATGAATGCCATAAGAACCAATAAAAACTTTTGGCAATATAAGCGATCGCCCAAAATGTTTACTCAATATCATAAATATTTTATTACTAAAATGAAAGGGCAATGTTATCCTGAAATTTTTTCTTTTTCCCATACAAACGATACGTAGCGATTTAATAGTGCTAGGGCTGTCACATTTGAGTAATCTTCACAGAGTGTCGCCATAGGTGAATAACATAAACAATTTTTAAGTGCAGTTGCTTATTAAAGACTTCAAGCAATTAAAATCAAAGACTCATTTTTTTAACATCAGACTTCAAATCTGATAGCTTAGTTTAAGTTTTGTACTTCCTGGACCTAAATTCACGTCTCGACCTTTTTTATCGAATACCTACGCGATGTATGTTTGTTTTTCTGAAATACAAAATTGTGAATTATGATAGCTAATAAAGATATTTTTTTCTGTAAATATTTTTATTCTATTCAAGTTGGGATACATAGCCCAAAGGATTGCGACTTTAAGTGTAGTTGGGACCGCAAAGTTCTCGAGTTCGACTGCGTACCGGGAGACGTAACATAGGTAGGCCTCTCACAAGATGCACTGACGATCCATTATAATACTAATATATTGTTTATATTGTCTATATTACCACCACCTCACCTCTTTCATTATTGTCATAAAAGGACACAAAAAGGAATCACTGAAGAATGGACCTCAGCATGTTGTGTTATACCAACATACTGCAATCATCAACCCATATTCATTGGTGGTAGTGAATATTGTATATCTGCATAGGTACCAACAGGCGTTGGCTATGGTTTCTAGTAACCAATTAACAAGTAGGACTTAAGTTCTGAGAAATTAGGTCACCTTGCTAATGCTTATTATTGCAAGAGATGAGATAAGCCCACCAGTCACAGCAGCCCATATGAATCTATTGGGACTACTCCAAAGAATTAAATATCATTAACCAAATCTAGACTAATCCTGTAATTGTTGCATCTAGTTTGTTTTAAGAATTATTTTATTTAAGCATAGGGTAGTTTGGTAGCGGGAATACATAATGATGGTATGATAATAATGAAATAATGACTATGCCCCTGGCATTGTTGACGTCTATGACTGACAGTAATCACTCACCATCAGGTGGGCTGTATGTTCATCTACCTACAAAACAATAAAAAAGTGCTCCATGCTGAGTCGCTCCTTTCTGAAAGGAGGAACCACATGTATTTCTTCAAAAATATGGAAAGTGAACAGTCTTTAACAATGGACAGCAACTTGAGTACAGCTTACATCTTTGTATACAGTTCATCACGGAAACCACTTCTTGATTAATTAAGGTAATTAATGAAACCCAATTAAATTAAAATAAAATTAGTATACTACAAAAATGTTTATTTTGCATTGACAATCAAAAAATATTATTTTTATACAATCATCTCAAGATGTCTGGCATACTCAATGGTCTGTTGAGCCAGTTCAGCAGATGGAAGAATGCCCGAGAAGGCCACAGATGTTAATTCCTCGCTTGTGAACCGGTAGCAGTTGTCAGGACCTAACCTCCAGTTACGCTGTACAGTCAAATAAAATTATTAAACCCCTAATTTAAATTTTTACTAAACATTCAGTAGCAGTAGTTGTAAGAGAATATTTTTGCAACAAGGCATATTAACATAACTTCTAGAGAGAGGACAGAAAATATCTTTTTAAGCTAGCAGAACATTAGGCCAAAATTATTATTCAAAATAAAACAAATTAAATCCCGTCCGTGGCCGGTGATTCTACTTTCTGTTACTTGAAATATTTCCTCTTCCAACCCAATTACTCAAAATGGAGCACATGGATGTTATTTGTAAATTCATTTGTGTACTATGAACCTTTTTGTTATATATCTATAGAAATAATATGCATAGTTAATAACAAATTGAGTCAGTAATTCTTAGATGTGAATTCAAATTTAGATGTACCTATTGAAAAACGAATGTTAATAATAACACAATGCTTTCTTTGGATCCATTTGGGTTAAGAAGCCAGCCAGGCCAAATGCAATGCTTGTATTCCAAATTACAAAAAAAATGCAGTTAAGAGAAAGTTCACTCTGTTGTAAAAAATGCTTCTATTTTGTGCAGAATCTGTAGAGTGCACATAAATACATATCTTATATATGAGTTTGTAGTATGGCCAAGTCAGCAAATGGACAAATAAACAGACAGCAAAAAAGACAAATAGAAATTGATAAAAAAAAAACAATAATAGAGGTAAAGTGTGCTTATGAAAATAATTTTTGAAATTGTTGGTTTAAAAGAATTACAAAGTCTTTTACTGTTAGAAAAGAGCACTATTTTGCAGGAAACCTATACCTTGCTTTTTACAGTAGTATAAAACAGAGCATACCTTCTTTCCATACTCAAGTACTGCTTGTTGAGAAGACAAGTTAAGTCGTCTAGCGGCTTCGGCACAAGGGATTGTGTGGTAAGCTTTCTCAATGCAAGCTGCAATCTCTCCACGAACTGTTTCTAAAAGTGTATCCATGAAGAAGGTGTAACTCTCTGCTGGCACATTACCCTGTTGTAACAAATATTTTGAATGATCGATACAATTTTTGTTTACCTGTGTGCCATAAAACAACCATTTGACAGTTTCTCTGAAGTTCTAAAATATGTATGCTTCAGACTTCATTGGAAGAAGCTGCTGTCTGGTGAACAATAATCAAATGACAAATTAATGTGATTGCCCTTTTAGTATAAATATTGATTAAACCAAATAGCCTTTAACAATCAAATATTGCAACTAAGAATCTAGTCGTATTTATTTTTTATTTGTCTTTTTTAACAGTTCTAGGTTTTGTTTATATCTTTTAAATTTTATTTATTTATAAACTATTCTAGAATATTTGAATGCAATTCCTTTAATCATTGAAATTAATACATCCATACTTCAAAACATGCTACACATAATTACTTCCAATGTAGTCCTTAAGGCAATGATACCATGTACAAAATTTTAAAATTACCACTGAGATTCATGAATTAATTGTGATAATTACAATTTAGAATCTCCTTTAAATTACTTGATACTAAACTTTACTTAGACATACTATGAGTACCTTTGCTAAGAATATTTTGTTGTAACTGCCCTCCATTAAATACTGTTCTAGAGCAAGCGGGTGTCTGATATAAAGATCTGTTCTTATAACATCAACTGGAAGACGCTCAAGTTCTGTGTGAAACTCAGCCACTCGGTTTTGAGAAAGCAGGTATAATAGATTCAATCCTAACAGTTGGTTTGTGAATGCAGACTCCGGGAGATGGTCTCTGAAAATTGTTATTTATGAAAATACTATTCTAAGTTCAATGTACATGTTTGTTCATTTAATAATGTTCCTTCATCTGAGCAATTTGTGGAGAAGGTATAGTTCCTCCACAGCAGTAGATCTCACTATATTTTGGTTGATGGCAATATAATTTACATCTAAACTTTGTAACAATAAATGAATATTCATTATCCTTCCTTCGATTAATATTTACTGTTATGCAAAGTGCAAAAGAGATGCGAGTCTGAAAATACTCCAAAACTACTACCTTAAGCTTAACTGTAATTGCTTCATTTATTATTATTTATAGTTAATTCATGAACTCTGTATATATGGCTAAGCAAAAGGTAAATAGCAGCTCTAAAATGAAACTGATCTTTATAAAATAAACAAATATAATAATTGAATATAATGTCAGTACTGTAAAGTAATTTATTAAGATCAATCTCAATATCTCTGAATGTGATCGTCACTTGACTTACTTGTAATCGAAATAATAACACTTGAGTTGAGACATGTATCTCTCGAAAGCTTTGACGTCTTTCACGGCGACGGCCCATTGTGCACCTATTTCCAATACATCTCTAGCCAAAATCAACTCTTTTTGGTTTGCTGCAACATTATTACTTGGAAGAAACGTTAACTGTGTAAGAGCAATCTGAAAAAGCCAGTTTTTTGTTTCTATACTTTGAGTACAATTTTGACAAGTCATTGTTCATAGTTTACCTTTATTTTGTTTAAGAGCTCTCCACATTTGTCCAGCTTTCTTGGCTTCTTTGCCCACTCGGTCTTCAGATTTTGATATAATGTAGCGACGTCTTTTACAGTAGCCATAATTTTAAAATAAAATTTTCTAATAGTTAAGCACAGTTCTATCAATCTAGAATTTCGCCTCTCTTTCTGTAGTTTTGAGGTTTTGAATTTTTTTTAAAGTCATTTTATGACCTGGTATCTGAGACCTTTAAGTCAAATCTTACTTTAATTTTAATGAAAACTTTTATATATGAAAAATTATATTATGAAATGAAATTAAATGAAGCTGATTAATATGAAACATGGCATGAAACGAAATGAGGTGAAATGATATTATTATATGGGATGAAATATAATCTCAGTAAAATGGTGGTCATTTATTGAGACTTTTTCAGTGGATTTTTTGGAGATCCCGAGAAGCTACGTTCAGCAGCTTTGTTTCATTTTCCCACATTTGTGCACTTTCACAGATACTAAACAGTTAATTAACCACCGTTATTAAGCATTTAAACCTGAAGAAACACTAAATAGACAAAATAAAACAAAACCCACAGCTACTCTTCGCGATCCCGCCAAAAAGCCCGAGGCTTTGTAATTGTTTTAATTCACCCATTGGAAACGCAAAGAAAACATCGACTAGGCAGCCAAATCTTTTATCAAAAAAGTCAAAACCGTGTATTTGGTATGAAATGTAAAATAAAACAGAAAAATTAAAATTTGCTTTTTGTTGTGAAATGAAATGGAAATAATAAGATAGGACAAGAAAACAGTGTAAATTTAAGATAAATTAAAGTAAAATAACCTCTTAGTAAATAGTGAGAATTTATTAAGCGTTGAAGAAGCTTTTGAAAAAAAATTGAAAAGCCGTGGTGAAAATTCCCGCACTTGGGTTTAAATGTCACTATTATTAAACATTCAAACCTGAAAATAATCACTATAAGACAATTCATGTGTCGTATGGTAGGAAACATCGTGAGGTCGGCTATAATAAACCAGACGCGATGATGGCTACTTTTATGTTTCACATTCTTTATTTTGTCCGAAACGACAAAGAGACCTACCTACCATCGTAACAATTTCGTTACTTTGTACACATTTTATAACTAAATTTTAGGCAAGTCAACTCATTATTAGTGTTTCGTCTGATGTAAACGTGTATTAATGGTTGGTAACTACTTAGCATCTGTAACAATGTACAATTGAAAATGAAAGAAAATTATCTGATACGGCTTCCAAGTTTTTCCACCAAGTTCATTGAACTCTTTGCAAATATATAGTTGCTCCGATGGGTTTTTTGTAAATATTTTTTATTGCTTGAGCTCACGTGAGCTCACGATCCGCCTGGTATTAAGTGATGATGGTAAAGGCATCTTCAGTTCATGTAGCGCCCGTGTGAAATCATTACTCTTGCACCCTCTAGTAAGCGCTCGGTCAAAGTGGATCAGGATTAGTGAACAAATATAACAGGTTTTTAGCGGTTCATTGAAAGTGCCAAAGCCAGCACCCTCTAACACAGCTGCGGCTGTGTGAAACGCACGCCCTGCATCATAGGTAAAGCCTGATTTGCCGCCACTGTTGGGTTTACTGGTGGTAGATCCTCTTGTGAGTCCGCACGAGTAGGTACCACCACCCTGCCTATTTCTCCGTGAAGCAGTAACACGTTTCAGGTTGAAGTGTGGGGCAGCCGTTGTGACTTTACTGAGATCTTAGAACTCATATCTCAAGGTGGTTGCGGCATTTACGTTGTAGATGTCTATGGGCTCCGATAACCACGTAACACCAGGTGGGCTGTGAGCTCGTCCACCCATTTGTAATAAAAAATAAAAACCTACCTTGAGGCACGTGTTTTAAATTTTAGTTTTACTGTACAATAGTTGCCTCATCCTTGAAACCGAAATACTTTATTGCTTCATGGCGGAAATAAGCTGGGTTGTTGTGCGGACTTAGAAAAGGCCCTACTATTAATTACGCAAATTAAAATTTTTGTGGGTTTGGTTTTTATTAGACGGTGTTCTTTCTCATTAAAGAAATTATTCGTGAATATTCATTAGGTACGTATATCATTAAAAAATTACTACCTGCCTGCGGGATTTGAGCACCAGTATAGTCACATCACCCGATACGAATGCACTAGGTGTCTTATCCTCTAGACTGTCTAGAGTCTAGACCAAGACGGCGACGCGACGACTTCAATATCCATTCCATTTTACTGTTCATTCACTTTCAAAAGCTTCGACCTTTGATCTAATTGAAAATAGCTGTATGGCTATGTCCTCTTTGCCTATTCAATGGACGAATCAAATAAAAAAATTGTGTCAAAGTTTTAAAAATCCTGGGGAGACGGCTCAAGTTAATTTGATTTATGATAACATCGATTATGTATTTATTAGGGGTAGCAGACTTGTTTTAACTGTTTCATAATTTTATTCTTAACATATAAAAATAAAAATGAGGTAAAACGATGAGTTCACCTTCTGCTGTTGTATGCCGTGAAGTTTTTGATGAAAACAGTCAGCCATCAGTCGAGGGTTTGTAAAAATATAACTAAAACAGGTCACAATAAATCGTAAACAACTGAAATAAGTCTTAAATAAATCAATAAATCATTTATGTGCATGTGTTTGATTTTTAATTAGTTTTATAGTTGAAAAACGATGTGTAAAGTTTTTTGTCTGCGGCTACAGAAATCTGCGAGTATGCCCAGCAGTTGGGAATTGATCCTGAGAGCGAAAGCCACCTTTTACCACTTGCGCGCGATGGACTTATGCAAGCACTGCCCCATCAGTGGAAAGCATAGTGAGTTTACTTACACAATGTACATTAGTTTTCGATCTAATCATCTTTCAGGATCAAACGGAATTTTACGGCTAGTATGGTGATGATGACATTATTCCAAATGTTCAGCTCATTTAGGAAAAGTAAAATTATTACTTCCAAAGAATACATGTTGTGGAATAGTGACTTTGTCATTGTGATCAATGGTAATTAATTGCCACTAAATTGGCTGTTGGCTTTGTCTGCCTTCAATGAAAAGAATAAGCTTTTTGTTTATTTTAATACTTCCAAGAGACAAAATAATTGGAATATATTTCAAGTAAGTTTCAAATCATTTTCTGGAGAAGCTAAAAGATGCTAAGTAAGGGCACTGAAAGTTATGACTGAATTTAATTTAATGAGCTCTTAAGGAGCAATAGTGTAATGACTTCGCAAAACTCTTTATTTGCTGTTATGTCACCAGTTAAAATACTCTCTCATAGGAATTTATTTCTTAAGTGGATTTCCAAGATATGTGGCTGATGTGGTAAAAGCATAGCTTTGTACAGATTACCTTTATGCCTCTGAGATTCTGAGAAAACACAGATCATTCTATTTTGGCTTTAGGATGTAGTTTTAGCACTTTTGCATTATACTACATATATTGAAGTTGCTTACTGAGCCCTTCACCTTAGCAGAAGATTTGTAGATATCGTGGAACCTATCTGTTACTTTGTGTGATCAAAATAGGATTATGAAAACTTCACCACAGTACTGAAGCTATCTCCAATGTTTCAATATCTGAGACTACACTTCTTCATGCTACAAAAAGTTACTTGTTAGACTCTATGTATGATGAAATTGTATTAAAAGAACAAATTGCAAACTAGAACTCTTCATAATAAAATGCTAAATATGTTAATTCAAACGCTCCATGCTCTATCCACGATAAGTGAAAGTATCACCACATATAGTAAAGTATTAGTATTTTATTAGAAGAACAGAATGAATTTAACATAGGAACAGAAGTATATAGTCACTACAGGACTACAAACCTGATTTTCAAATACTGTGTTAACTCAAGCAGAACAGTTGTGTACCTGTTATAGTGATCACCATGTTACACTAGTAAATACACACAAGCTCAGAAAATCAAAAACAGTTTGGATCGCTAATTGTTCATACAATCATTGGAAAATAATATTCACCTCACAAGTTGAATATAGAAATTAAAAACATCATTAGCATCTCCATTGGTTAAAATGTGCATGTCAAGAGTTAATGAAATGGCTAGTACTGAGATTAGTATAACTCATTAGCATTACTAAGGGTACAGCCAGTCTGCTATCTGTTGCTCAAGATATGTCACAGTGCTTAGGAAACCCCTTTGAAGAAAGGTCATTTTAGATATAAATGGTACATTACAAAATTTTCTCTAGAAATGCACAGTAGAGAGTGCAGTGGCTCCATGGATTAACAATAGATACTGTTTATCATACAAGGTAATTGATGTAAAACCTAAAACAAGATGATGGGATCATCTTAAACAATTCCTCAGAGCACTCCCCATGTACAGACCCCCAGAGATGTTATGTAATTAGTTATTATCTAAAACAGTTATGATGAAAAACTCCAAACTCATTACTACTATAACGAAGAGACAAAGAACACTCAATGGGAGCATCCTCTGGACAACTTGTACCGGGAACTTGTGAAGAAAGCACGAGATGCTTCTATGCAGGATGATACATGTGCTTCAGTTCAGGTGAGAAAACATAGAGTAAGTGTCGGGCTTTGATGAGCTGTAGATGAGCAGAAAAGCTCTTGGCCTATGTAATGCCAACATAGATGCCCCTAATTAGTATCTGCTTTTTACTGGTTGTAGGGTGTCTTGTGAGTCTGCACAAGTAGGTACTACCCTCTTGCCTGTTTTAGCCATGATGCAGTAATGCATTACACTGAAGATTGGGGCAGCTGTTGTACTCAAAAAAATACTGAGACTTAGAACTCACATCTCAAGGTGGGTGGCAGCATTTAAGTTTTTGTTGTCTATGGGCTTCAAACTTAACACAAGGTGGACCGTGAGCTCTTAGCAATGAAAAAATTAAAAAAATCTTATAACTGTTATATGAAACACAACAGCTATTTTGCTATTATTATATTACCAACTATACTCCGCGCGCGAGCTCCGAGGATTCGGGGGCCGAGGAAGCGGGCGGGCATGCACCGCGCCCGACCGTCGCTTCATACCCCGCTCTCTCCCAGTACTAGTGTTGACCTTAACGTGAGAGTACGCTTACCGACTCGTTGATTTTAATTTTGCGATAGCAGTGTTAATTACGTGTGATTTCTAATATAAATAGTCTTACACTTATAAGTCTTTTTGTTTGCACAAATAGCTATTTAATTTGATGAAAAATGAATGGCGAGCACTAGCATAATAAACATGTCTTAGCATTAGAGGAATATTACTGGCAAAAGGATGGCTTAATGGAGGATTTTGTCGAATCATTTATTATTGAAGTATGTGAGGAGAGTACATCAAATTCTTCAACTACTGATTAATCTGATTGCGAGAGTAATTAATAAGATTTCACGTTCATTTTGTTCAATAAAACTCAGTTCATTAAATGAAATTCATACGTGATCAATTGTTTTTTTTTTTTCAAGTACATAATACCCTCATATAACTATTTTATAATTTACACTCGCACGGAGGCTTACGATGTGTTAGTATCGATAGCGCAATATCGACTAATTACAACACTAGCTCATTACGTCAACATTCCTTAAAAATCCTCGGAGCTCGCGCGCGGACAGTAATGTTATTAACATTGTTACTCTAATTTTCAGGAACTTCCTACATCAGAGGAGAACACCAACCAAAGAAACCTCGAGCGACATGAAACCAAAGTAGAAAGTGATGAAGAACTAAGTACAGACAGCGAAAACCAGCCAGAAGTCAAGGAAAATACAATACATAATAAACGACTCACACCTTTAGGTCGGCCACCACTGTCACCACTTACCAAACTAGATAAGAAACTTGGAGATATACATATATCTCCACTGCGGAGAAGCATAGAAGCAGTACCAAAGTCAAAATTAGTCCATCATACTTCTGACAAAGATGTGTTTGATAGGATGCCATTTGAGAAACATAAAATAATGTTCAAACAACATTCTGAGAATATAGATCTTAAGATGAACGTACAAAGTCCAGAGGAGGAGAATGTCAAGCTGTTGTTTGGAAGTAAGACTGATAAGGGATTGCCATTGACTGGTAAGGTTTTCAAATTTGTCATGTAACACTATAAATTCTGTATGTATGTATGTATAAATATGTATAAATGTACTATAAATTCATTTTAAATTGTGTGGAAAAAAATTAACTCATGTCAGAGACATGCTAGCCCTACCTACCTCTGAGGACTTCAATCTCATGACATGAAATGGCTAGTAGTAAAATGATTATTCTTAACATTCATTATTCTCACAGACCACATTATTGTGTACACCAGATCATAACCCACATAAAACGTGAAGAAGAAAGAATAAAAAATTAAGCATCAGTGCTTGTATTGTGAGGTGCTTGTTGACATTGAAACTGAAATAAATTATTTTACCTAACCCCCTTGTCTTAAGATACTGTTGATTATAGTGAAGTGCTCCATAAATATTAAGCGCTAAGAATTTATACAGTTGTAATTATTTTCATTTCCAGGTAAAGGCAATATGTTTTTAAAGCTATCGAAATCTGATCTACCAAGTCCAGAGACTGAGAAGTCTCTACCATTAGACTCAGTCACAAAGAGCGATCCACCCAAAGGTATCCTCAGGGAATCCATCTCCGATATTATTAACCGGAGACCTGATAATGTGGGTAGACAGACTGCTAGTTTTGACGAAGACAAGAAGTGTGTCCGGTTAGTTGATAACTTTAAGCTTACTTTTGTTCAACTGTCGGCAATACTGATGACTAATGTAACACGTAAGCAGCTCGAAGGAGTCGAGACACTAGGGACTAGGGAATGGTTTGTAAGTCCATGACTGAGCCGTCAGTGGTGGTCCCCAGGTTCCAGCTGGAGGACGCGGCGGAGTCGGCGGCCAGCCCGGGCTCCAACAGCTCCTCGGAACAGAACGAGCCGCAGAGCTCCGTGGTGTCCGCCCGCCCTCCCCTGCCGCCCAGACCAGCCAAGCCTTCGTCGGACAAGGACTCTACTGGTAATCATTTCCTATGAGTTTCTATCTTCAATTTTAGTTGAAATCTATCTATATTTTTATTAATTTACTACCTTTAAGTGAATCATTTCTGTATGTGTAGTAACCGGTGCACCTAGGGAATGGCTTTAAGGATCAAGTTTTGTTATGAGATAAGTTTTGTAGCGTCAGTTTTATATCGAAAGATATCTGCGTAGACAAACTCCAATTTTAAAGAATAAGCCGTTGCTCGCGACCACCACAACACCATTTCACATATCTCTGGCGCGATCGCTTTGTCATCCATATACGGATATTTAGCAGGTCAGCTACGTTTCACTGAATTGCCGTATGGACTTCCACTCAATAGTGACAATTGACACATGGTTGTCGCGGCTCGACACGCTGGGTTGCAGTCCACTAGAGGCGGTGCAGCTGCAGGCGCCCCGCGAGCGCTACCAGACAACGCAGTGTACATCGTACAAAAGGAGTGCGCTAACGGTTTCCGAATACAAACGCGGGTTCCCATATTCTGCACGCATTGGAAGGCAAACAGAAGGCGTGCGGGGTCAGCTGCGGTCATTTACTCAAGTCTTAATATTTTAGCAAATTTTATTAAATATACATATACATTTTTATACATTTTTTGTTTTTAATGTATCGCACTGTTTATTTGTTTTTTGGTGTACAATAAAGAATACTCTCTCTCTCTCTCTCTCTCTCTCTATACATAGTTATAATCTGGTATGGGATGTTACTTGTGTGGATACTATGGCTCCCTGTCATTTAGATGGTACTTCCTCTCGCCCTGGTTCAGCTGCAGCTTCAGCAGAAATTTCAAAAAATCGGAAGTAGTCGGGTTTGGGGTCTTCTTATTCTTGTTGAGACGATGGACTCTTGGGGGCCCCAAAGCAAAGATTTTTTTATCAGAAATCTCGAAACGCTTGAAGGAGGTTATACGTGATGCTAAGGCTGGCTGGTATTTTGCACAGAGAGTGAGTCTGGCTGTCCAACGAGGTAACGTAGCCTTGGGAACTGTGCCTCCTTCAAGCGCATTGGAAGATTTGTTCTACTGTATGAGTTGATTTATGTTCAATTATTAAAAAAATATATTTATAATCATATCAAAATATTATATTACAGGATTCAACTTGCGGTTAATAAAATTTAGTTTAAAATTAAACACGGAAGCAGGTTCAGCGACAGCGACGGCGGGGTCGGAGGTCGCATCCGGGCCGGGCCGCCGAGTAGTCCGGCCGCCGCCCACCGACTACATCCGGCCCCAGCTCTTCCAGAAGCACTTTCGCAAGATAGCGGACATACTGGCCGACCCCGCGCCCGACCCCGCCCCCGACCTCGCCCCCGACGGATCCAGGCCCAGGTCGGTCCCCCTCCGCCACTCTCACTAACTGTGCGTCGCATGTGTGTGTGTGTGCTCTAACAGTGCGCCGTCCCACAGGTCGCCGATGGTGCCGCTCACTAACAAGATATCGATAAATCTAATGGAAAGCATCGAATCTGAAACCTCGATAGACTCACCAGACAGAGAGTTCGTCAACTTGGACCTCAACGACCTCAACGACGCGAACGAGCTGAACGACCTCGACGACTCAAACGAACAGAAAGACCGAAGCGTCTCGAAGGACGATAGCGACCGCGACTCGGGAATGTTGAGGTCTCCTCCCGCGGAGCGCGCCGGGCGCGGACTACCCGCTTGCTCAGACGAGCTCCGGGACACTTCTGAGCCCGACCGCTACCAGCCATCAAATGAAGGTTTAGCTAAAAATAAATCAAGCTCAGAAACATCCGCCGCGCCCCCCGCTCCCCCCGTTCCCAGCCCCGCCCCGAACTCCGCCCGAGACATCAAACCCCTCAAGTATGATTTTGCAAAACCTTGGACCCCCTTATCAAGTTTCCAACCGCAGAAAGCTGTGATAGCTCCCCAAGTTAAGACCTCGGAGTCCTCGTCTAGCCTAAAAGTTGCCAGTCCGAGGCTGGATGGAGTCATCTTGTCTAATGGGAATACCAGATCCGACAACGTAGTGGTCGTGTACCAGTTCGAAACGCAACAGAACTCTTTGTCGAAACCGCTCAGGTCGCCACTGATACCCGACATGGGAACTAGAGACTTTATAGAGCGGCACAAGAGCGACGAGAGAAGGAGATTAGAGTTGGCCTTACAGAAAGAGTTGGAGAGTATAAGAGTGGAGTGGTCGTTGAGGGAGAAAAAGCTGAGAGCCGAGCTAAATGAGGAACTGAGAGAGTCTGAAGAGAGGTTTGTTGCGGAGAAGAGGGTCAGGCTGAACGAACAGGCGGAGAGACATCGAAGGGAGCTGGAAGAGGTTAGCTTTTTTTGTTTTTTCTTCATTTTTTACATTCCGAGACATTGGAGAGCTACATGGAGCTCGTAGCATAGGAAAGTAAAAAAAGTATCATTCCATTTGTATGACATTAATTAAAAATAAGATATACTTGTATTCATGTCATAAACGAGGTATTGTACAAGCTTTTACAGTGCCTCAAACACCTGGGGCATGGGGATGCGACCTCTGCGACAAAGGGGCCGCGTTCTGGGGCAGGAGCGGCGGTTCTAGAGCTGGTTGTAGTGTCAACCGCGGTATCCCCCTTGCTATGTCGGACTCTGCCTCGGGTGAGAGTGCTAGGGAGAGTGAGTAGGTTCTTAACATCTTGGGCTACCGAGACCTACATATCCCGAGCGCCCCCTAGACGCCATAATCTTATCGGAGAACGGGCCCTGGCGCGAAAAAAAGGGTAGTGTAGTGTTCGTTGGTCCTCCCACATTTCATTGCATTTGGGACTGGAGCACAAGATGTGAACGATGATAAATATTGAAACGTTTTTTATAGCGTGATTGAGTGTGAATGACAGTGACGTGATTGTTGTCGCGGTGCAGACGCTCGCGTCCAACGAGCGGCAGCACCGCGCCGCGCTGGAGGCGGCCCGCGCGCAGCTGGAGGCGCGGCGCACAGCGGACGTCGACGCGGCGGAGAACGAGCACGCCAGGGACATGGAGAGGCTCAAGGAGACCTACCGGGACAAGCGCGACCAGCTCCGTCGGATGTTGGAAGCGGGTAACGTTGCAGCTTTTTTTTTTATTCCTACTTAAGTTGAGAGGCTAGCCTTGAGAGGCTATATCAGCATAACCTTAAACTAGTAGGTGAGCTCACGGGGCTCAAACCTGACGACGTTGCTACACGAACCCTAGCAAGAGCCGTGCTTCGCAGAATCTACCACCGGATCGGAAACGCGACCCACTGAGAAGATCCGGCGAGAAACTCAGTGGGCTGTGTCTGAGAGTTAAGTTACTCGTCGAGCCCTTCGTCGCAAGCGACGGGTTCGACAGGAACGATGACTGGTGTTTGAGATACCTCAAAGCACCGTTAGTGGATCGGGAGGATCCGAAATGACGCGTTTGGGGCAACGTCGACTGCTTTCCATTCTGTTAACAAGATCGGAAATGTAGTTACCGGCGGCCACGATGAGACGGGTCTCGTGTCGTGCCGCCTTATCGAAGTGAGTTGCAACCCGGGGCTCCCGGCGCTGTGTCGCCGAACTGTAGACTATACCTCGTGGCGCGTCCTGCTCGTTGTCGGCGTCGTTACTGGCGCACTACCCAACTATGTCTTTTGTTGTAGAGCACGAACAGTGCCTGGAGGAGGTCCGGGATCAGTTCGCGTCGCAAGTAGAGCGGGAGCGGGCGCGGCTCCGGAACGAGCAGCGCAGCGCCGTGCTGTGTGCGCGGGAGCAGCACCGCGCCGCGCTGGACGCGCTGCGACAGGACTACCGGGCGCAGGTGGAGCGCGTGCGCGGCGAGCACCGCTGCCTGGCGGAGGAGGCTCGGCGGCGGCTGGCGGCGCAGCGGCAGCCCGCGCCCGACAAGTACCGCGCGCTCAAGGACAAGTACACCAGGCTCAAGCACGACGTCAAGGTCGCGCACCCCTCGCGACAATTACTTTTTTTATTGCTTAGACAGTTGGACGAGCTCACAGCCCACCTGATGTTAAGTGGTTACTGGAGCCCATGGACATCTACAACGTAAATGCATTACTCACCTTGAGATATAAGTTCTAAGGTCTTAGTATAGTATATATACAACAGCTGTCCCACCCTTCGAGCCGAAACGCATTACTGCTTCACGGCAGAAATAGGCGAGGTGGTGGTAGCTACCCGTGCGGGCCCACAAGTCCTACCACCAGTAATTACGCAAATTATAATTTTGCGGTAATAACTAAAAATGTAAAACTTATTTTTCATTGCCATTGTAGGCAGATGGCACCATCAGCTGAATAGTTTCAGCTGATGGTAAGTGTTTGCCGTAGTCCATGGTCTTCAGCAATGCCGGGGGCACAGCCTAGCCGCTGCCTACTGTTAATTACTCTCCGTAAGCCTCGTTTGAAGAAAGACATGTCATAGCGCTCGGGAAGCACCGTGGAGGGGAGCTCATTCCAAAGTCGGATGTTACGTAACAGATAAGATTTTTGGAGACTCACTCTGGATGAGCGCAGAGGTTCTGGGTAGTGTGGATGAACTGTACTAAGGTGGCGAGCGGTGGTAGTAACGAAATGATGAGAACATCTCAAACAACTCTTCAGAACACTCCTCATGAAGCACACAGTACAAAACACAGAAAGGACCCAAGTCCCTCTGCAGACCCAAATGTTCCAAACGATCCATGAGAATAGGATTATCGACAGTCCGAACGGCCCTCTTCTGTATGGAGTCAAATGGAAGAAGCTGGTATTTGGGAGCTCCGGCCCAGAGATGGGAGCAGTACTCCACGCGAGGTTGGACCTGTGCTTTGTAAAACAAAAGGCTGTCCAAGCGTGAAGTACCGCTTCGCTCTGTTGAGGACTCCCAGCATTTTGACCGCCAACTTGGCTTTGCCCTCCAAATGACATCGCTCGAAACGTCGACTCCAAGTATCCTAATACTCGTGCAAGATTGTACACTCATTGGAAATGCAGCATCATGACAATTCCTTCTTTGCGCGTCCACTACGCGCTAGTGTCTTCAACAGGTTTAATTGGACTAAGTTCAATTTCAAATTCATCTCACTTGGAGATTCGGCTAGAGACAAATTTTGAGGGCCGATATATCGCGTATCCTCCGTGCTGTCATCCGCAGAGCAATGCATGCCAACAATAGACAGCATGGCATTGATACACAGGATTGAGCACCTAGCTCTGTGTAACGCCAACGTTGGTCATGGTATCAGAGCAGCAATCGTCTACAACGATAGTGGTGATCCGCCTATCCAAAAAGTTAGCGAACCACATGCAAATTCTCTCGGGGATCCCGTGATCTGGTAACTTTAACAGAAGTGCCCTATGCCAGACTCGGTCAACGGTCTTCACGATATCAAGGCTTCCAGCGAAAGCCTCGTCCTTGCTCGCTAAGGCTGCAGCACCCTGTGAGTGAGGTATACAAGATAATTCAAGAGTTGTTCCATCACTTTGGAAAGCAATGAAGCTATTGAAAGTATTGTTACGCGCTGGGGTTCGGAATAAATAAAAAGTTCCACTAAAGTACAAGTTAACACTGTATTAGCACTTAGAACACTTAAAACACTTTACAAACACCTTAAAACTCAATTCGCTTCTACCGCTTCGCTTCAGATGATTCGTTCACTGCTTCGCTTCGAGTAGTTCCGATTACTAACTGATTGCGTACCATTTCTGCAACGCTTTTATAGTCGATACGACATCCCTAGAATCCTCGAGAATATTCTACAAAAGTCGAGTATTGTGTTTCTGCTATCTGACAATAGATGGGGTTGCACTTCTCGAGCGTTCTAGATACTACTAGATCCTTCGATATTCGTTAGAGTATTCGGAGATAGAAGGCGTTACCCCTACGTTAGTATTATTTTCTCTAAGCCTCTTGGTTGAAAGTAGAAAGTTCATTGAGGTTGAGCTCAGTGCTGCATTTGTTTTACGAATAAGAAGTTGCACAATTGCAGATGTCGATAGAGCGGCGCAACAAGCGGCGCGAGGCCAGCGCCACCACGGGCTCCGAGACCGACCCGTCCGCCTCGCACCGCACCGCGCGCTCCGCCGACAGGTGACCCGCTCGTGCCGCGCTACTCCACTATGTGTGACAGTTGTCGACTCATTCAACAAACTCTCAGAAGCAGAGGCGGCCGCCCCCGGACGGACGACGAGCCGGGGAACCGCAACAGCACCTCGGCGTCCGACGGCCCCGCGCCCCGCAGCGCCGCCGTCCCGGGCCCCGTGAGTACGCCCCCCACCGTCTTGGGACATGCTTATCCGAATTAGACATTTGTTAAGTGGTCCGAAAATACAGAAAGGAGTTTTTTTTTTATTTGTGGTGCATTACTGTAGGTACGCGAGTTCATGTCCATCCTGAGGAATGCGGTAGTGCTGTGACCTAGTTAATTATGGTAATGTCGATAATAACTACCGATTTAGTCAACAGCTGTCAATTTGGTTTAATGTAACTTAAGGTAATTTTGCAATTTATGAAATAAAATAAATATGATAAGTAATTACTTGTTTATTTCTAATAGAGAAAAATATTTTTTAAATTCCAATTAAATCACTATCGAATGAAAAGACAACCGACAGATCAGAATCGCAATCAGTATGTATCTTTTTTCAGTACGTTTTTTTCTATCTGAACTTGTTGGAAGCGGAGTAGTCATGGTTAAATAACACAATAAGCGTTAGCGTAAATTTTCGATATCGATAAGCGCGCGTCACAACCGTCACGGACAACACTCGACGTCAGACGAATGCGGGCAGGCGGGCGGAGGCGGGGCGAGCTGTCCCCCGCGCGTCGCCTCTGGCCCCATGGACATGAACTCGCGCGTATACAGTAGGTGTAATGCAAAAAACAGGAAGTTTAATAATTTTCATGTGTATTTTTGTGTTATCGTGTTAGGGATCACATTTTGCCTTTGATGTCACGCCCTGTTCCGTCACCTCGTGTCTGGCTCGTGACGACCCAGTCAGTTTGAGATATGTGGTTGAATTTTAAAAACATTATGTAATCAGTAAAACATTATGTAATCAGTGTGCCACCTTCCCGATGGAATCCCAATCGCGGCGCCAGCACTTGCCCGCCGCGCCGCCCCCCCGCGCCGCCGCCTCCCCGCCCCGCGCCGCGCCCCGCCCGCACGCCGCTCGCGGTCAGCATTATTGATCCTTACCACTATGCAATCTATTCAATTTTAAGTTAAATTATCCACATTTACTATAACTGTTACAAACAATCACATTTGTACCTTGACATAGACAAGGCTCAATACAGTTCAAGACAGCTCGTTGAACATATTATATTTTTAGTATGTATAATACTTTAGAGGTCCATGGACTTTGGCCGTCGCCTTAAACTTGATCTTAGCGTCCATGATATTGGGTGTATTGAGTTATTTTATCGAGTTCACGAAGTAACGGCAGTAGGCTGACCGCCCCAATGTGCCCCTGTGCGCCCCCAGTGTGGGGACCAGCTACAACCACCGAGGATCTGTCATTATGGCGAGCGTTGGGAAAGCCCATATCCAGCAGTGGGCTTCACCGGGCATTAAGTAGTTACAAAAGCATAAAGTAGAGAGCTGCAGGATGACGACGACTGACGAGCGCTCCTCGCGTTGCAGAGACCCCGACGGACCCGCAGGACTCGTCCGACGCGGGCTCGGCGGGCGGGCGCGCCCCCTCCGGTCGGTAGCCCTCCGCACGCGGGTGCTCTCCAAGAATTCACTACATATAGAGAACTTACTCACTTTTGTTTAAAACAAAAAATTGACACCGAGCTTCGCGAAAGTGTTACAATTAACTGAAGGGTAACAATGTAATTTGGTATACTGAGAAGGGTTAATATATATACTAAAGTATGAAGCAAGTTGTATGTACATTTCCGATGTGTCACTAATGGCCCCGTCCCAGCTAGCGCCCCGCCGCCCCCCTTACCGTTGTTGTTGTGGCGCAGGGCGCGGCCGCAGGAGGAGCTTCGCGAGGCTCAAGTCGGCTTCCACCTCGCGCCTGCACTGCTCGCCGCGGTGAGTCGCCGCCCTACCGCCGCCCTACTGACTGTGCTCATGTGCACGTCGCGAGCCTGACCGATGCGATGCCCCGCACAGGTGGGCGGGCCCGCTGGAGAGCGTGCGCCAGCAGCTGCGCGCCCTGGACGCGCTGGACGCGCTGGGCTCCCCGGACCAGCCGGCCTACGCGCTGCCCTACCCGTTCCGCGCGGGGGAGGCGGCGCGGCCCGAGCTGGAGTTCGTGCGGCACCGCGCGCTGGTGGAGCGCGAGGGCGTGCGGCGCGCGCGCGGCGTGCTACGGGCTCGCCGGGCCGCGCTGCTGCAGGTCGCTGCACTTGTCTATGTTTTGATATCATTATTTTTATTAAACGAACGAGCTCAACAGACATTGTTCTACCTTGACAACAATCCTAGAGTCTGCGTGCAGCGCCACCTGCCGGGTGCTCAGAGGCTGATTGTAGCACGCTCAATACATCAAAATGAGCCACGTCCCGTGGCTCCGATCTATGTTCCTGATTAACCTCATTTGGACCCCTGTGCACATATCAGGTCCACAAACAGCTATCAGTCTTACCATCGTGTAGCCACGTGGCCCTCCCCATATCGTTACATTTTATATTTTATTTACAATTCCAATAATTAAATTTTAATATTATATTATTATATTGCCTGCCTGTGTTTGACGATCTTCATAGTATAATATTATGTTATAAGATAATCCTTATATATTATTATGTATTATAATAAATCAATATGTAATATATGACACACGCTTCAACAACAAGCCGGACTAAAAAAAAAGAGTAATTTTAAAACCTGAAGAAGAGGATGTTAGATCAAAATGAACAAGCGATTGTGCCGCGGCCGTCGCTCCCGGGCAACTGCCGAGTGTCGCCGCCGGGCGCGCGCGACCACGAGACGCACATGTTTTCCCTTTTAAGATGATAGTTTTGTTCCCGTGAGGGGTAACGCGGAGGTGGTGCGGACACAGGAGGGGCGCGAGGGTCGGGAGGAGGAGGAGCGCACGGAGCTGGAGGTGTCGCTGCACCGCGCGCGCGCCGTGCTGGGCGAGAAGGAGATCCGGCTGCGGCACATCGAGCGCACGCTCGCCGCCCTCGCCGCGCCCCCCGCCGCGCCCCCCGCCGGCACCCCCCTGCAGGTCGCCGCACACCCGCTGCTCTGCTACGTTATTGTTGTTACGGCTTGTTGTCACCATTCTTATTTCCCGTTTGCTTGTACATAATGCATTTATTTATTTTATGTTAAATCTAATCTATGTTATGTATTAAACAGGCTGCACATTACTCACCCTCATAAATACGCTCACAGACAGCACAGCGGTCCGACTGAACTACTTTAGTAATCATTTTATTCGCTTATTTTACATAATATAACTAGCAGACTCGGTCACACGTTGCTGTGGCTAAGGTTTTTGTTCCTAAATGACACGCGGTCGGCTATGCAAATACCAAAAATATAAAGAGTAACAACAATTAGATTTAACTGTATTGCGTTTACTACGAAATAAATTTCACTTATACTTTAGCCTCAGCAACACGTGGTGTTTAAGCCATTAAATTGTAGCTTATGTGAGTAGTTGGTATTTTTGACACAGCGCCATCTATGAGATATTAATGTCAGACAGTATTACAACTGTGTAAAAACTGATACAAGGCGCCATCTGTTTTAGACTTATGAAACTTACAAATAATAACAATAATCAACTTACGAAATAATTTTATTGTTAATTAATAAATATTGCGACCATTAATCGAAATAAAAATCATCCTATCTTTCAAGTTGGATCAAACTGCACACGGTGTGCAAATTTAATTTAAAATCGGTTAAGTTGTTTAGGAGTCCATCGCGGACAAACAACGTGACACGTGATTTATATATATTAAGATTTTTATGAAGTAAACCAACATTCACATGTCACTTTAAATTATTATATAATCGGAACACGAATGCTGTGCGTAGAACGGAACGACTACATACGGCTGCAGCGCGCGGGACGACAGTGCCAGCGACGCGTCCTCGCCCTTCGATGACGTCACGCCGCCCGGTGACGTCACGCCGCCCGCCGGTAACTCACATCGTATTACTACTGTTATTTATTGATATCACTTGATAGGAATTTCTGACGTCATGCCTTACGTGGCTCATGTAACTTAGTGGGAAAAGGACAGCGACCTCTCAATGTCTACTGTACATTTTGAACATAGTCGACTGAAACCATTGCTGCTATATTAAAAAAAAATATATATAGCAGTAATCTATATTTAAAAATATGTAATAATATGTTATTTATAATGAGTTTTTCATTATTATTAGAGAGTTAATGTTATTTATGATGAGCTCGGAAACAGAGCTGCAAAAAGTGTTATTAATGTTTACGGTCTCGAGCGCTCACAGTCGGTCCCCCGCAGGCCCCCCGGGGAGCAGCTCGTGCCGCGCCGCGCCGGCCCCCCGCGCGCGCTCGCCCGTGAGTATCTGGTTATTGAACAATTGGGTGCATGTGGGTTAGGAATGTAGATTTTTCACGACGGCCTAAATTTAGTACCGATGTGTAAGTATCTTAAGGAAGCGTTTGAACGCTACTTCGACAAAGCGGCGCGACACGAAAACCGTCTTATCTTGGCGGTCGCTAATTTCATATCCGACTAAGGCGACGGGGCATCGCAGGCTACCGTCGCCCGAAACCTATCAGTGCCTATGGGTTCTTTTTTATATTGCTTAGATGGGTGGACGAGCTCACAGCCCACCTGGTGTAACGTGGTTACTGGAGCCCATAGACATCTATAACGTAAATGCGCCTCCCACCTTGTGAGATATAAGTTCTAAGATTACAACGGCTGCTCCGTCCTTCAAACCGAAACGCATTACTGCTTCACGGCAGAAACAGGCAGGGTGGTACCGTTAGTGCTGTTCGAACAGCTGTTTGTATGTAGTTGTGTTGTGTGTGTCGGCGGCAGGAGGGCGCGTCCCCCCGCGCGCGTCGCCTGCGCGCCTGGCTCCACTCCCCGCCCTGAGCGCCCGCCACGTGCACCACACTCTATATACAATATATCCTGGATAAGTATAAGTCTGCGTGAACGCTCAACGTTTCTTAAAATGTCATATTTTGGCCTAAAACTCAACTAACATTCCCACGGTAGGATCATATCACAATTTAGGATAAGTTGGAGAGCAGCGGGGAGCGCCCGCACCGTGACGTCACTGCCGGTGCGACCACCCAGTCTAGTCTAGATCTAGTCCAACGGTCTATTGATGTTTAAACTATGAATTAGTAGCTAATAAATTTAATTTTTATTTGTAAGTCTTTAATAATAATTACGTAAAGGAAATATTTTAATGAGTATATAATCAGATTGAACCCGTGTGCCACGAAATGATTCTGTGTCTGGCGAGCCGGCGGACGAGCCCGGGGGCCGCTGCCGAGGGCGCGCTGGTTACTCATAGCTATTCAATAATCGAAGGTAGTCTTATTTAAAGCGCACAAATTGTATGAAGATGTACGGGTCCGTCGAGCACGTTTGCGTTTAAGGTTTAAATATAAGATGCGTTCAGTATGCCCCTCGGGAATAGCACTGTGATATTATGTTAGTTATCTACTTCTATTCGTACTTATCTGTATGTTGTATTAGTTTAGGATCTGCCCTTGTGGTAACGTTATGTGTCCGCCATTCCGTAACAGCATACTGATGTTGGAATGTACACGTTTTCTGTGCTTATTCCGTCTAGTCAAAATAATAAATTACTCCATTTTACATTGTGATGTTATTTTCCCGCGCGTGTGAAGTTTTGTTGTATAATCGAGAGACCCGCCGTAGGTCAAAGATCCCACCGCTAGTTTGTCTCCGCACCGCGTATTCCATAGTGGACAATCACTTTTTATTTTTATTTATTTTTTGACTGGAGAAACATTTCAAAGAATGTTTGCTAATCACAACTAAATTCTAATAAAAATCGTTAATTATCAAAAATTTAATCAAACATTTTAACCTCTATTTGTCCTGAATTGATGTCATCATTGAGTTCATTTAAACAGATAGTTTAGTCTATATCTGTGTATACTCTGTGCTCCAGTCAAATGTCAATTTTGTTAAGGACTTTTTGGCGGGAACGCGAGGAGTGAAGTGTGATTTGTTTTATTTTATCTATTTAGTGTTTCTTCGGGTTTAAATGTGTAATAATGGTGGTTTATTAACTGTTTAATATCTGTGAAAGTGCACAAATGTGGGAAAATGAAACAAAGCCGCTGGACGTAACTTCTCGGGATCCTCCAAAAAGTCCCCTGAAAAAATCTTAGTAAATGACCACCATTTTACTGAGATTATATTTCATCCCATATCATCTCAATTCATTTCATTTAATTTCATCCCAGTTGATTAGTGTCTCAAATTAATCATCTTCATTTCATTTCACTCCATAATAAGACATGACTCAAAGGTCTCAGTTACCAGGTCATAAAATCTCTTAAAAAAATTAAAAAAACTATTTTGTTAAGATTTTATTGATAACCTCAAATCACTTCTGCAAGTTGACTAGAAACATAAAGTTTTTTTGTGATAAAGACTCCACTTATTTTACGCTCCTGCTGAAGTCATCACCTTGAAAAGTGACAACCTTATCAATTATTAAAAAATAACCACAACGATTATTTCAAAAATGTTTTAATTAGTTTTAAATTGATTTATATTAATTAAGACTGCGATCCCAAAACTTTTTATAAAAATATTGTATCAGTTCCTAGCTATTTTAACTCCACTGGTTCTGCTAGTAAAAAACAGATATCCAATAGGTGTAGACTCTGAACCTCAAATAACAATTAATTCTTAATCAATGCCCTTGTGATGTCTGCAAATCTGCAAAATATTTTTATCTTTAGTAAACATTTCGTGTGCTTCTGAAAAGCAGTTTCATTGCTTTATCATTAGGATTTTTATAGGAGTTTTGTTTCGTGTCGTGTCACGTGTCGCATCACAAATATACTCTATGTTTTAAGTATTTAAATAAAAAAATATACGTACGATGATTCAGCGTTATTCTAGTTTAAATTGCAATCATAAAATTACTTGTAATTTATCAAATTTCGTCCAAATTTCAATACGCTCACTGATGTATCATAATGCACATTATAATTGTCGTTTCTGCATTCACTTGTTTATTTGAAGTGGAATATTTAATGAAGTTTGAACAACGACGACCGCGTAAACACATTTGTGAGTACAGATCCAACAGACCTAACAAACAATCTAGAGATTATCCATGAAAATAGTTAACATTTGCTCTTACTTATTGGATAATGTTGTATAAAAGTTTACACTAATGCGGGATTTACATTACGAAATTAGTGTCATGCATGTTGAGCTCAGTTTCACGAAAGTAGTTTCGATATATGCGAAAGTAATTTCGTTAAAAAATTAATGTCGCGAAATCCACAGTATCGCAGTAACCATGGCGCCTTCAGCATCAAAGTTATAATTTGCTATATTCAATGTAGCTAAAGAAATGCATAAATACTTATAAACTGAAAAAAATACTATAAACAAAATTTTAGGTGCAATGAAGTTAGTCTCTGAATTAGCAGATGAAGATCCTGAGAGTTATAGAAACTATTTTCGAATGAGTGAAGATAATTTTGATTTTTTACTGTAGGTGTTTCGAGTCCCAGAGACAGCCTTGTCGCTGATATTCATTAAGATCTATTTTTTTTCTGTACTCCATCGTTGATTTGCCATTTTCAACGCTTGAAGTTCGTCCGAACTAACAATACACACGTCCGCACAGCGCAGGCCCTTTCGCGACTTTAGTTTCACGTCGCGTCTACACTATGAAATTAGTTGCATGACACTAATTTCACCAAAAAATCGCGCAGTGCACGAAACTAATTTGCATGCATTACGAAAGTATTAAATTACACGTGAAACTGTTGGTAAAACTAATGTCACGAAACTAATTTCATGCCACTAATTTCGTAATGTAAATTCGCCGTAACAGGAAGCTGATGCGATCGTCTTCACTGATACTAGAATGTCGTCAATGTAATCGAAAATAATATAAAAACCATCGTGTTGTATTCGATAAGTTAATTTTAAACAAGTAAGAGTTCAAAATTTTTGTCCACAAGTGTGTTTGAGCGGTGATAAATGAATTTGTCAAAAATAATGGTTTAAATTGTACTAATTGTATTCCAAATACTAATAACTTAATATTAATAGTTCAATGATTCATTTTTATGTAAGTACATTATAAGGTTTTAAAGTTGGAGTTATGGGATAGTAAAAGTGTTTTCATTGCGAACAAAGCATTACGCGCGATACAACAATACTGATCGAACAGTGAACTCAACTTTAACTTGTCTATCCTTGGTCTACCAGGCTGACGTCACACCAAGTGTCGAATGTATGATGATGAGCCAAACAAATAATTTCCTGTGTGCTTAGTGCGAGTTTTTTAACGTTCTCGATAGCGTAAAAGTTACCCAATTTTGTATGNTGTTTTCATTGCGAACAAAGCATTACGCGCGATACAACAATACTGATCGAACAGTGAACTCAACTTTAACTTGTCTATCCTTGGTCTACCAGGCTGACGTCACACCAAGTGTCGAATGTATGATGATGAGCCAAACAAATAATTTCCTGTGTGCTTAGTGCGAGTTTTTTAACGTTCTCGATAGCGTAAAAGTTACCCAATTTTGTATGCAGTTGGAACAGCGCCCCTAACGGCAAACGTAGGCAAACGATCCCACTCCATACAAATATGAGCTAACTTTTGCGCTATGGAGAATGTTGAAAAACTCGCACTAAGCACACTGGAGACGTCGCGGCGCCGTGCCCGTAGGACGATCGGGGTTAATGCGTAGTGGATGAATAGTTACAAATAATACATTGATTCAAAGCTATGTTGAGATGTTTAAGTCTGGCACCCGGGATCTTAGTCTAAAATCAATTATTGAACTCGTACAGAATAAAAGAATACAAGTCGATAAATAATAAGCGAGTAACTCCAGCTTGAAATTATTTATTCGTTAAACGAAATGAAAATAAAACTTGAGTAAACTAATTGTAGTTTCATTAAGTAGTCGGCCGTTGAGTCGCGCAGCTCACAGCAGCGCCGCCACCGCCAACACCAACGCCACTAGGTCCCGCTCCCCTGCGGGCACAGAACAGTTCAGGGCTCTGTGTGTAGTGGTGCGGAGGTAGGTGCTCTGAGGGATTATTTGAGATGATTCCATCATCTCGTTTTTACCATCGCACAGCCCGCCACCGGAGTAGAGTTCATCCATACTACCTGGAGCCACTGCGGTCATCCACAGTGCGTTTCCAGAGATCTTTTTTGTCACGTACCATACGGCTTTGGAATAAGCTCCCCTCCACGGTGTTTCCCGAGCGCTATGACTTGTTGCCTTCAAACGAGGCTTGTGGAGATTACTCAACGGTAGGCAACGGCTTGGCTCTGCCCCTGGCATTGCTGAAGTCTATGGGCGACGGTAACCGCTCACCTTCAGGTAGGCCGTATGCTCGTATGCCTACAAGTGCAATAAAAAAAATTTAAAGAAACATTGCGTCCCCCCGCCCTACCTGCGCCTCCGCGGGCCCCGCTGTACTGTGCGGGCGCGGCGGGGGTGGTGCGGCCGCGGCGGTGCGTCTCCGGCGTGCACGTGGCCGGCAGACCCGCGTCCGCCCACGAGTACGACACCGCGGACCACGCGTCGTACACCTTGGTTGTATAGTTCCATGCGCTGCTCGAGAAATCCGGAGGGACCTTGAAAAGTGAATGTATTAGTAAATTTCAAACCAATTAATAGCATCCTTAGTAACGCGAAGTGTGCGTGTGCGTGTCCGCCGTGAGTTACTTGTCACGTCACACGGCCGATGTACACTCGACTCCTGATATGTATCGAGAGTAGGTGCTGGACCTGTTTTTTTATTTTATTTTTATTGCAAAGGTGGTTGGACGTGCTCACGGCCCACCTGATTGATTACCGGAGCCAATAAACGTCTACAACGTAAATGCCGCCACCTACCTTGAGATATGAGTTTTAAGGTCCCAGTATAGGAACAACGGCTGCCCCGCCCTTCAAACGGATTACTGTTTCACGGCAGAAATATGTAGGGCTATACTAGACGTGCTACCACTCAGTCTCTGCTGCGAAGCAATCACAGACACCAAAACGTTTAATCTTAGTGTCGCCGTCCAAGTGGTGTTTCTATAGGTTTGAGAACCGGAGGCGGGCCTTGAGGTCGGCTGCGATATGCGCTAGCTAAATTTTAATGTTTTCAAATCTATGACCTTAAACAACATACATAATAGGGTAAGACAAATCACAATAAACGGCAAATTGCTATATATTTCATACTTATAAATAGAGGTTTGAAGTTGACGGAAAACCTTGAAGATTGTTTATACTATCGTGTACCGATCCAAGCGCGCCGTGCTTATCGCCGTTTACTAACCCTCTGTGCTCCTATGGTCCAGATAAGAGTGGGCGAGGGCAGGCCGCTAGACGTACAGTTGAGGGTGACCCGGCCCGATTCAGAGTCCATCGTCGCAACGCTGATGTGTGCGTCGCTAGGCGGTACTGGTGGCGAAATATTTCTGTTATCCTAAATTAGTTTTCGGAGTTTGGACTCGCGTTAATGTCAAAAAAATCGACCCATCGAATATGCTAAAATTATGTTCAACTTTATGTTGAATTTATTCATATCACCTATACTTACTATACATTTAAACTGATAAGAAGGAAACATTTCCGGAATATATCTTTTGCAAATTGTATTTGGCTAAATTGTCAACTGAAGAATACTCGGAAATATTACCGACTTGGTGGGAAGTACTCACTGTCGGTAGCTTGTTAACAAAGTATTTACGTTTTTAACGACAGAGGCGATTAGGACAATTGAGGCCTATAAAATCAAAGGCAGCCAAATCCAAGCCTATCAAATATTCAGGTAAACTACAAATATCGGCCCTAAACACGTCATTACGGATCCTTCCGATCCATCGAAGTACTGCTCTTGCTGGGGCCAGTGCTAGCAACACTCCCGGTTTGAGAAGCTGAAATAACTTTGTTCGGGTAGCTACGATATTCTTTATTTTAAAGCAGATTTATAAAGAATGAGAATATTACTAATAATCTGAATTTTAAATGATATATTTTATATGAACTTCGTTTATATTTGAGTACAGAGTAAAAATAAAAATTTTGAACAGAATTTGCTAGAGATTTAGCTGCATTTGTTATAACATGAAAACACTGAAGCGTGTCCCAACTAACTAAACCAGATGGTGCTATAGTTAATCCATTTTACAACAATAAGGCGTTTAGCTGCCTTTGATTTTATAGGCCTCAATTGTGTTACGTGGCGTGAACGCGTGCGGGCTAATTGCACAATCCGGTCTGTCTGCTGTCACCGTATTTGGGATAGGCGTTATTCCCTCGCAATTATGACATCAACCGCGTGTTTCAGGACACGCATTATGGTTTTCTACTCATTATGACAAAATTCAAAATATACTTCTATATTTGTGTATCCTATTACTTTTCTTACTATCATCAAAAACTCACCAGAAGCTGAAACAAGAATGCTCTTCGTTTCAATCCTGAAGGTAGGTCTCTCGCCGGAGACTTCACACGTGAAGTTGAAATCCTGAGGTGGCTTGATTAGTTCTGCCGATACTACACACGCTCCTGTTGCACCCTTTTCGGAGGTCTCACGACACCTGACGTCCCACGCCCTAGTCCTGTAGTATTCACTTTTTGATGTGCCGTTTATCTGCGAATTCACCGTAATGAACGGCCAGGAGGAGACTTTTTATTTCCCTTTACTGATCAAATTTCACGCAAATCCTTCTCCCAATCTAAAGTCTATCTAAAGTCTATCTAATCTAAAGTCGTCGTGGCTTAACGGATAAGACGTCCGATGCATTCGTGTTGAGCGATGCACCGGGTGTTTCAATCTCAGGCAATTGATTCTGGTACCAATTTTCCTAATGAAATACGTACTCAATAAATGTTCACGATTGATTTCCACGGTGAAGGAATAACATCGTGTAATAAAAATCAAACCCGCAAAATTATAATTTGCGTAATTACTGGTGGTAGGACCTCTTGTGAGTCCGCGCGGGTGGATACCACCACCCTGCCTATTTCTGCCGTGAAGCAGTAATCAGTAATGCGTTTCGGTTTGAAGGGTGGGGCAGCCGTTGTAACTTACTTGAGACCTTAGAACTTATATCTCAAGGTGGTTGGCGCATTTACGTTGTGGATGTCTATGGGCTCCAGTAACCACTTAACACCAGGTGGGCTGTGAGCTCGTCCACCCATCTAAGCAATAAAAAAAAACCGTCAACACCATCACTCCGTTTTTGCTTTTTTTTGGTATGTTTAAAAGTAGTCTTGGCCTGAGGGTAAGTCATTGAAGCAAAAATAGTCAGGAAAATAACATTTGGTTTCGGTAACCGGTATCCAGTTTTAAACGGTTCGGAGCGGCTTGCAATCTACCTGTTCTTACGACCTTTTATTTTCTGTCCACAAATAAGGCGTCCCTCACTTTAAATTAACAATGAAATAAAATAATAATTAATCAAGCATTTGTAACACAATATCGGATGTATTTAATCAATTGTTAGTTGAATGACGTCATAAAGGTTCGCCCTTCCTGCCCTACGGGACGCTACAATTAAAATTATGTTTACAAAGGATGGAGGCTGGACATCCGCCGCGCCGCAAAACTATTACACGACGTGTTTGTTCTAATATTACTACATTTATTAAAGGTCATTTAGTGAATTGAGATAATACTGACTTGCTATTGGTAATTTTATTATTGGACTGTTTATAAACGATGTAATGTTCTCGGAAATATAGGCAAGAATAAAATAATCACGATATTGGATTGTAGATAGATACATGGAAATATTGCTGCTATTAAAACATCACATTCTTATAACGCAATGTAAAGAAGCGGGTACGTTCTCACTTGTCGCGGGGCGCGCAGTCAGCTGTCATGCGAGTTTGAATCAATGAGGTTGTCGATCCCCGAGCTACGAGTATTATAATAATACTAGCTGACCCGGCAAACATTGTTTTGCCATATATAAGATTTCTAGGGAATTTCTAGTGTAGAAAAAAAAACTAACTTATTGTAAGTGTGTAAGGATGTGGTAAATTAGTGAAAGAGGTATGTAGTGTTGTGAACGATGAGGGAATATATAATAAAAATAACAAAACCTCATTCAACCACATAATACCACATTATAATAAAAAAAGGCCAAATAAAAAAAAATATGTTAGGGGTGGACAACCCTATACACTTAGGGGTATGAAAAATAGATAGCAGCCGATTCTCAGGCTTACTGAATATGCATAAAAAATTTCATGAGAATCGGTCAAGCGGTTTCGGAGGAGTATGGGAACGAACATTGTGACACGAGAATTTTATATATTAGATGAGCTTTACAATGCGGCTCCACGAAATTTAAAATAAGTGAAGCGGGTATTAAATAACTTTGGAACGAAGTTCCTTATACGTCCATAACGTAAGATATTTATTTCTGCCTATGCTGATAGCCTTGAGAGGCTATTTCAGCTTCGCCCTAACGTTTGTAGGTGAGCTCGCGGGGCTCGACCGGAGAGTTGCTAACGCTGACCCTAGCAAGAGCAGTGCTTCGCAGAATCTACCACTGAATCGGAAACGCGACCCACTGAGAAGATCCGGCGAGAAACTCAGTGGGCTGTGTCTATGGGTTAGTTCACTCGTCGAGCCCTTCGTCGCAAGCGACGGGTTCGACGAGGACGGTGACCGATTTATTAGTAATGTACACAGTGTACGACTTAACTTTGTAATAACGTACAAAAAATAACACATTTTTTTATCATTCATTGACCACGATCTCACAGCGTTCGTTTGCGCAATACACTAACTCTTATGCAAACAACCGTGAATGAAGTGTACCACAATAAGTTCGCACGTTACCGAATGACCGTGGGTTGTTGCGAAACCTCCAGTTTTATTTTCTTTATACCTCGAATAGAACTTAAAATTAATATTTTTATTATAAAGAACTTCGTTCCTATCCGGTGTCCCACGACACCACACATCTTTTAGTTGCATGATCAGTTTTTGAAGAGATTCCTGTGCGTGGTATATTAGTTTGGCTTATATAATTATTTGAAAATGATTATATTTAATTAAGTGTTCATTCACTTTCTACAAAAATGAGACATACACACCTCTGGCCTGTAAATAAAGAATTGCTGCCCGTTATTGTAGAGGCGTACCGACTGCAGCTCGTCGTTCTCGACTAGAGTCCACAGACAATTCACTTCCCAACCAGCATTCGGTATCCACTTCTGTGTCAGGTCGATCATCGAGCTGCACGAAAATTCTGCAATAGAAACCGAAGGCTTAATTAGACGTAATTCTATGCTGTTAATGACCATATGGTTCAATTAAGAATATTTATTCTCAGTAATTTCAGCGTTTGGGATGATATGGACATGTGATGAGACGAAATGAAAATGAGGTTGGTAAGAAAGTGTTAGCTATGAATGTGGAAGGATATAGAGGAAGAGGTAGACCTAAGAAGAAATGGATGGATTGCGTGAAAGACGATATGAGTAAGAGGGCAGTGAGCGAAGAAATGGTATATGATAGAAGAGTATGGAAGGAGAAAACATGTTGCGCCGACCCCAAGTGACTGGGAAAAGGGCAGGATAATAATGATTCTAAGTAATTTACGTAAAAAGCCGGCTCTTGGTCCGCCTGATAATTAGTAGTTATTAGAGCTTCTACATATTGCAAAGACAAAAAAAAAATTAGGTTGTGGTGTTTATTAGCTTACCCGTTTAACAATAGGAGTTCAGTAAGCTCGCCCGAATTTTACTGCTATACTAGGTCCATATAAATGAAGATCGGTTAATCTGGCTACTGGTGGCACTGGTGGTAGGACCTATTGTGAGACCGCGCGGGTAGGTACCACCTATTTCTGCCGTGAAGCAGTAATGCGTTTCGGTTTGAAGGGTGGGGCAGCCGTTGTAACTATACTTGAAACCTTAGAACTTATATCTCAAGGTGGGTGTCGCATTTATGTGGTAGATGTCTATGGGCTCCAGTAACCACTTAACACCAGGTGGGCTGTGAGCTCGTCCAACCATCTAAGCAATAAAAAAAAATCTATAAGTACTCCATACATTATGGTAATGTCCCTTGTTTTTGAAAACCATTTCTATCATTTTAATTCTTACATTTTTTGTGTCTCAGGCTGTTGTGATATGTAGGTACGTAATGTAATGAACACTCTTTCGCTTGATTAAGCAGGTTGTAAGCGACCACGGACTCTTAGCTCGGGGCCGTGTGTCTGGATAGTTAACATTACATTTATTATATAAAAATATATAATTATACCTAGTCTTGCCATAAATACTGAGACAAAGGAAAAAAACATTCTATTGCAAATAACATTTATTACTTTTACAGTGTGTTAGTTTAATACATAAATATAAAACAATTTAAAGTATAAAAAGCTTATTCGAAGTGGTCTCCATTGGCTGCAATACAGTCCTTTAAACGTTGAGGCCAGTTATCAATAGAAGCACGCACTCTTTCCATGGGAAAATTTTTCACTTCCAATCGTACGGACTGTTTTAGGGACTCCAAATTATCATGGCGTTTAGAACAAGCCGTACTCTCTAAAACTGACCATAAATCATAATACAGCGGATTAAGATCGGGACTAGACGACGGTCAGTCTTCAGCTCTGATGAAGTCCGAAACGTTCGTTTCCAACCAAGACTGCGTAGACTTCTTCTTCTCATTCTTGATTATTGAACATGGTGTTGTTAAGGGGCCTCACTACATTCTCAAGAATGGTATCTTGATACACTTGTGCCGATGTTTTGATACCTTTTTCACAAAAGTATGGCTCAGTCACTCCTTCATAGCTAATACCCCACCAAACCATCACTGAAGTCGGATAGTGCCCACGTTGCACTCTATCGACTAATTGGGAAGCTTCCTTAGAGCTTTGAGCATAAATACGGTCATTTTGTTTGTTAAAATGTTGCTCAATTCTAAAAAAATTCTCATCCGTAAACAAATTTTTCTATGACCTCNCTTTTTCACAAAAGTATGGCTCAGTCACTCCTTCATAGCTAATACCCCACCAAACCATCACTGAAGTCGGATAGTGCCCACGTTGCACTCTATCGACTAATTGGGAAGCTTCCTTAGAGCTTTGAGCATAAATACGGTCATTTTGTTTGTTAAAATGTTGCTCAATTCTAAAAAAATTCTCATCCGTAAACAAATTTTTTCTATGACCTCCCTTTGCGTACCGCTTCAGTAGTTGTTTCGATTTTACCCCCCTATTCTCTTTTAAATTATCGGCTAAGAAATGACCAGTACGTCTCTTATAGGCTGCAAGTCCTAAGTCATCTTTTAAAATACGCGACATGGTTCTAGGTGCTATCTTCATCTCCCGACATAAAATCTTTTACTTTCGGACAGGATTTCTTCGAATTCTTTCCCTTACTGCTTTGACCACCTTTTTCGTACGAACACTAGGTGGACGGACAGGTCTTTTTCTGTCACAAACAGAGGATGTCTCATTGCACCTATTAATAGCCCGGTACACAAACATTTTACTAATACCAAGTATGGAGAGTTTTAAAAATTGCATTTGGCTTCATACCTACTTCGTGTAATGCAATCACAGTGATTCGGTTCTTTTTATCACCCCACTCCGTTTTAATATCGCAAAATATTGTACAATGTATTGGCGCCAAAATGAGAAAACTCAATGAGCAATCATATAAAAATGACAGATTCCAAATTCAAATGTAATATTTTGTTTATTTTTAATTGTAACAGTATTTATGGCCAGACTAAGTATATATAAAAATACAGCATGAATTATCTTTAAAAACTTGTCAAGTTATACAAAGTAGCCGGCGCCGTTCCTCTTACGATCGCTTAATTCGTTCAATTGGTGGACTCCGCTCGACAATGTGCCTAATACCAGTATTTAGGACAACACCGGGAAGATGGTATCCGTTGGATGATCTTGGAGACTAAATGCTTGTTTGTTTTTAATGCATGCTCTACACTAAGTACCTACATTTACTGTCAGAGGGTTGATTGACAAAAAATGTTACTATGAGAATATTATCAGAGTCTCTATTACTTTACTGATTTAGAAGCGAGTTTAACCTAATGGTTATTATTTCAATTTAGATTTCATCGGTATCTGTTCAATGTAAAATAATAAATTTACAACCGGCATAACCAGAGAACTAATCTTGCTGGTTTGATTTTTTATCATCATAGCATTATCATAAGCATAACTCATTTTACTGTCAGTAGTCCGTCATCGCGACTGTGATGTATTTGAAACGTCGGAAAGAATAGAATGAAATAAACGCGACAATAAAGTTTAGGAATACCAAAAATCGGAACATAATTCAAATTCAAATTCAAAATCATTTATTTCAACTTAGATGTCAGTATGACACACTTGTTGAATGTCAAAATACAAATAACAATGTTAACTCTACCACCGGTTCCAAAAAAAGCCACAGTCCTGAGAAGAACCGGCGAAACAAACTCAGCGGGCTTTTTTTTTGTTTTTTCTCAAATATTTTCTTTTTTTTAAATAAATAAANATTCAAAATCATTTATTTCAACTTAGATGTCAGTATGACACACTTGTTGAATGTCAAAATACAAATAACAATGTTAACTCTACCACCGGTTCCAAAAAAAGCCACAGTCCTGAGAAGAACCGGCGAAACAAACTCAGCGGGCTTTTTTTTTGTTTTTTCTCAAATATTTTCTTTTTTTTAAATAAATAAAAATATTTACAATAAAGGAAAAAACAAGTCAAAAAATACAATTAAAAAAATTATAATAATAATGAAAAATGAAAAGGCTAGGAGCGAGCGCCTCATTCCCACGTAGTGCCATCTAGTAAATAATCCTTAACTTTATAATATGCCTTGTTGCACAAACGTTCCTTGACAGTTTTCTTAAATCTATGAACGTAGTAATTGAACGTTTAGTGGGATCTTGTTGAAAAGTTGTACACCCAGCCCCCTAAAAGAGTTGCTTATTTTCTTAATTCGAGCCGCCGGCAACGCAAGCCTATGTTTATTCCTAGTGTTCACATTGTGCAAATCGCAGACTCTGGGGAATTCTTCAATGTTTTTACGCACGTACAATAAATTTTCAAAAATGTATTGGGACGCTAAAGTTAGAATTTTGATTTCCTTAAATTTGTCCCTCAAGGATTCCCTCGGGTGCATATTATAAATAGCACGAATAGCCCTCTTCTGCAGGATGAAAATCGTTTTGACATCGGCAGCATTGCCCCATAGCAAAATGCCATAGGACATAACACTATGAAAATAACTAAAATATTACTATCACTGAAAATTTTAAGTATAATCCTTTTATTAGGGTATTTTTGCGATTTAAATACACAGAGGACTTTTATTAATTTGTAGCTTATTATTATATACGAGTATCTAATAAAAACACCTCAAAATGAAGCCATGATTGAAAAACCATGAAATAAGTATGAAAAGGAATTTTCAATTTGACGTTAGCGCCGGTGGGAGGGTGCAAACCTCATCGCAAATCAAAACGAATCCCGTAGCAGGACTCCTTTAATTATAAACCAAATAATAACGTGAATCTCATTTATCCATAACATTAAAAGCGAATTTTTCCTTTATTTCTAAAGTTCCCCTTGTAATAAGCATGATGGGTCGCGCTCACTAATTGAATTTAATTGGCTATGATTAAACAGTACTTAAATACGGCTGGGAACAGAGTTTTTTGCATCTCCAGATAAATATTTGTGCCTATTATCATTAGAATACGGTTTATATCAAAGAGATAAGCCGTCGTGTTACACGGATAATAATATCATCTTATGTCAGACAGCACTGGAAATACTGAGGTGAGAAGTTCAATCCTAAGGATGATAGATCGCTGTTAAAAGGATATTTCGAAATAGATTGTGATTGTATTGGTTCTCATAGAGACAGCCTACTGAGTTTCTCGCCGGATTTTCTCATTAGGTCGCGATTCCGATTTAGTGGTAGATTCCGCGAAGCACTGCATTTCCTAGTGTTAGCTAATTCTGTCAGATTGAATCCGCGAGTTCACCTACCCGTCCGGGCATAGCTGGGATAGCCCCTTAGAGTACCAGCGAATAGGTTGGGAAAGAGAAATTGACTGATGAATTATGCTTGTGGTGCGCCCAGCATCACTTGTACCACTCATAAAAGATGGATACATGCTTAGGTAAAATGTTAAATGTACTTACCGATAGAAAACAGTAAAATCACAACAACTTTTTTAAATACTATCATCATTGTTTAAATAATATAATAGTTACTTGCACACGTAATTAATACTCTGATTCCGCAACTCTGCTACAATAAACAAATCGATTGTTCGAAAAAGCTTAAAATGAAACTGAATCTTAATGCTCAAGCTTGAAAAATCCGGAATTTAGAACGAAAAAAAAAAAAAAAAAAGAATTTTTGCCGCTAACTTGATTGTTTCGTTCGACAACTAAAAAGTGATTTAGTAATAATTCTCAATGTTCAATGTTGTTGACCTTTTGACATTTCACACTTATAGTATCAAATAATGTGACGTTTATACGGATAAAGTTTGTTGTTTAACTAGTCTTATTTTTATTTTTTTATCTTTAACGATATTAAACGCTATTCCGTGACGCGAGTGGCCGCCCGAAGCACGCGTTCGTTTGTGTGACAATAGATGCGCCCGCGTTCTGCTTCGAAGCTAATTGGTAAACTACGTTCACTAAGTCATAGTGCGACGTTATACGATGTTATTGTTATTTAAATCTATATTATTTCGATAAAAGTGAAAATCGTAAACGAATTATCTGCATCATAACGTGGACACATACTACGGAAAACTTACCTCGAAGACCAGCGGAATCCCTGTAGTTTCCCCAACTAATGTTGTTTTCTAATTACGGTAAAAACTAGTTCGATCGCTATTACTGAAGAGGTTATAGTGAAGCTCCCTACAAGGGTAAGTGTACCAAGGATCCGTCTTCAAAACATATTACATACTGATTGCAACCTGGTGCGGACCCAAACACGGGCTCTCTTGTACAAGTTTTTGAACGTTTTTCATAATTTGACAAATATAAAGAAATTTATAGCTATTTTTTATTTATTTATTGCTTAGATAATTTATTGCTTAGGTGGACGAACTCATAGCCTACCTGGTGTTAAGAGGTCACTGGAGCCCATATACATCTACAACGTAAATGCGCCACCCACCTTGAGATATAAGTTCTAACATGTCAGAAATAGCAATACGGTGTTACAAATATTTCTTCTCGAGTCGATGTCGCCACACGATCTCGCTCGCACGCGTCGTTAGGTAAAGTGTGGGAGAGGGATGGGACAGGATTTGCAAAACCAAATTAAATGTTGCTATTTTCCGAAACAAAAACCTTTTCGTTTTTTTTATTGCTTAGATGGATGGATGAGCTCACAGTCCACCTGGTGTTAAGTGGTTACTGGAGCCCATAGACATCTATAACGTAAATGCACCACCCACCTCGAGATATGAGTTCTAAGATCTCAGTATAGTTACAACGGCTGCCCCGCCCTTCAAACCGAAACGCATTGCTGCTTCACGGCAGAAATAGGCGGGGTGATGGTACCTACCCGAACGGACTCACAAGAGGTCCTACCACCAGTAATTACGCAAATTATAATTTTGCGGGTTTGATTTTTATTAAATTCACCGTGGAAGTCAATCGTAAACATTTCTCAAATACGTATTTCATTAGAAAAATTGGTACCCGCCTGTGGGATTCGAACACCGTTGCATCGCTACATACGAATGTACCGGACGTCATATTCTTTAGGCCACGATAGCTTCTATTTATTTTATTAATTATTATGCTTATTAAAATCACACGCTTAAACATGAACGTTATGAAGTGAATGATGATTCATTAAATAATCCAACGATTTTTAAACATACTCTTACAAGTTCAGGAGAAAATGACCACAGCTTAAAATCGATATTTCACTTTTAAGTAAACCGCATGGTTATCAATTTTGTTTAAATCTGTTAAATTTATTATCATTGTGTCAGTAGTGGTTACATATTTCACATCACAAAGCTACGCTAAGCTATATTCGTGACAACTATTTCCACTAAACCAGCAATAAATCTACACGACAAATACATTTTCATTTATATTGTTAGAATGACTAGCTACTATCAACAATCTATGTTTGTGCTCTTCGAGTTTAGACATTGGATCCATTTTATTTTAGCGTACCAGAGAGAGAGGGAGAGAGAGATGATGAATTTTAAAATTTAATGTTTGCTTTTGAAATTGATTTGACAAGTGACAGAGATAAAGCTATTTTTGTTTTGTATTTCATAGAGTTTAATTCACACGGTGCACACTGGTCGTGCGTTTGTGCTATAGTCGTTTGCTTACGATCTGATCGTCAATAGAGTTTGTTCTAGTCGTTACAATGTGATGAGCGTTTATTGATTTGAATTCTCTTTTTAGTATAGCAGCTCGTGGAACAGCAGTACCGGACGTGGTTTTCATGCGAGAGGATACAGGTTCTATATTGGGCATTAAACATAAAGTTTGCTTACGAGTGCTCATAGTTGTTGCAACTATTAGAAATGTATTAGTAATGGTATGGGCGGAAGTTGACTTGTAGTCAGCGAATATTAGTTAACCCAAATTAGCGACATTAGTATCAGATTAAATTAATATCCTAAATTATAAAACATATTTTTAAACCATTTACGATAACATTACAAAAGACCCGGATATTTTAATCGGATTCATAATGTTTAACGTTTGGCCCGGACCGGATAACCAGCGGTTACAGGCAAACGGAAGTCTCGCCCGGATGAACAACAGGATTAAATGATTACAATTATACATTTTATCCTTATTTACTTGATTTTAACATGAAGTCTTAGAATTTTACGAAACAATAGCGCTTTCGCTATTCTACTAAAATTAATGAATAAAAACGAATAGTTAATAGTTACTATAGCCCATGGACATCATAGCTCTGATGCCGCCACCCACCTTGAGACATGTGGTCCAAGGCTCTGTCGGAATCTATTTATTGTACTACATGCATAGTAATTGTTAACTACAATATTCTTACGAATTCTATGAGCTCTGTCATTAATTACCAGCGAAAGCTCTGAAAGCTGTGAAAGCTCGAGCGTGACAAATAATAGTTGTTTAACTTACTTACAATATAACTTTATCTTGAAATATTTCTACAATTAAAACTTTAGCGAAGTTCGTTTGTTTTTGAATTAAAAAGTTTTCAGTGACAAATCGAAAAGTATTTATCAATTTCTGGAAAGCTTCCATCCCACACAGCTTTTTAGGGTTGTTTGAATTAGCAAGCAAGGGTTATCTCATAGTTTCATGCAGTCCAACTCCGTATGTCACAATTAATTTACTATGAAACGTTTCACAAAATTACGGAAAAATAAATGTAAGTTATATAATCAGAGGGATAAAAACCAAATTCACATGAGCGTGGTTGTCATTATGTTGGTCAGAAATACGATTACTGTGCCATTTCTGTTTTAGTTAGCAAAATATACCTACTCATTGTTCGGGGATCAAATTGACTGCGCCGTGAAGATCTAAAATATGCGTGCTACTTTATAAATTATGTATGCTACATCCATATTGTATATTACATGCATAAAATTATAGGCATTTATATCAGGATTAAACATATCTTTTCATCTTTAAAAAAAGTAGTTTAAAAAAGTAACAGTCTAATGAAGTCTTTCACTGTACCCTTTGTGCATAAAGTGAAATATAAATTAATGTTAATAATGTTATCAAAATTTAATGAAATTAATAAATGTTGTACGTCTGCGGGTTTTTTTTTCCGGTAGGTAGCTATGACTCCACCAAACACAGCGTTAAGACTTGCTATGGGTTTTGATGTGGTCAAGAGGAAGGCTCCTTTTTGCGGGAAAATACGGGACATCGAAAATCCGGCATGGGGCCCGTCCTTTTATGTAGCATAATACAAACGTAGCAATAAACATCTTTCAACATCGACGCGAGCCTATTGGTTAGAATGGTTAGGTTTTATAGAATTTGCTACTGTTACGCCGGTAAGAGTAACGCCATCTATCACCGAATAGCCGAAACGAATATCAAAGGAACTCGTAACGCCGAGAAGTACAACCCCATCTATTGTCAGATAGCGGGAACACAATACTCGACTTGTGTGGAATATTCTCGATAATTCTAGGGATGTCGTGTCGTTTATAAAAGCGTTGCAGAGATGGCACGAGTCAGATAGTAATCGGTACTACTCGAGGCAAAACAGCGAACGGATCACCAAAAGCAAAGCGGAAGAAGCGAATTGAGAATTGTAAATTGTTCTGTGAGTGTTCTAAGTGATAAATACAATTTTAAGCTGTACTTCGGTAGATTTTTTATTTATCCCGAATCCCAGCGCGTAACACTACATTAAAGCTGAAACGAACCTTAACAAGCGACAAGTCTTTATTAACATGTACTTATTTAATCACTTAAAAGAAGATAATCGCAAACAAACCCATGTTTTTTCATGCAAGTTTATATCTGAACGTTTTTTTGAATGGCAAAAATGATCCGTAAGAGGATAGAACGAGTAACCGGCTGTAATCCGGAGCGAACCTGAACGCTTGTTAGGTTTTCATGAAAGCAGATTTTACTTAAATCTCTCCACTGCTGATGTACCTACCTCACACAGATTAAACTGCTCACATACCTACGTTATACTCGTATAACATTACCAAAATAATTTATTTTTGCTTATGCTGACAGACGGATACTGTAACTGACAATATTAATTGATTCCTTATTTTTTTTTTTTTATTGCTTAGATGGGTGGACGAGCTCACAGCCCACCTGATGTTAAGTGGTTACTAGAGCCCATAGACATCTACAACGTAGACGCGCCACCCACCTTGAGATGCATGTTCTAAAGTCTCAGTATAGTTACAACGGCTACCCCACCCTTCAAACCGAAACGCATTACTGCTTCACGGCAGAAATAAGCAGGGCGGTGGTACCTATCCGCGCGGACTCAAAAGTGGTCCTACCACCAGTAATTACGCAAATTATAATTTTGCGGGTTTGATTTTTATTACACGATGTTATTCCTTCACCGTGGAAGTCAATCGTGAACATTTGTTGAGTACATATTTCATTAGAAAAATTGGTACCCGCCTGCGGGATTCGAACACCGGTGCATCGCTTCAACACGAATGCACCGGACGTCTTATCCTTTAGGCCACGACGACTTTAAAAACGACTTAATAAACTTCAGCCATGAAAATTCGTGCGTATCTGTGACATTTGTAATAGTTGAAAAATTGCAGCTATGTGCGCTGACTACATAAACCATATAAACCATCTAACAACTGCATTAGTTCTGTAAGCAAAACAGCAAATACTAAAATACAATAGGTATAGCTGCTTGGCTGTTTTGCAGGCCACAACTGGCATGACAATGGCATTGCTGACGTCCGTGAGCATCTATCATCAGGTGGGCCAGTTCCCTGTCTGCCTTTAATGGCAATATAAAAAGATAATCAAAGTCTATAGAATATTACATCAGCACGATGCACCGTTCGGAGAAAATGTGGGAGATGAGCGCGTCTTCTGTGTTACTACTGCACCACCCGACACTACTGCCTGGAGC